TCTCATTCAGTGATTTCCTTTTTAAGATGGGCACGGATGAGGAAGTAAAGGGCTAGGGAAATTGCTTACCAAGGAGGTTAAGTAGGTGGCAACAGGCGTCCTCAGCGCCCAGTCCGACTACACCCAGAGCAATGTGCTGCAATTGTCAGTATTGCCTGATCGAAGAGAGTTTGCGAAAGTGAAACATGTCCGGACTTCGAAAATACGTACCTTAATCACTGAAGCCGCAGTCTGGCGGTGGACTTGATCGCCTTCACGTTCTCATAGTCAGTATGTCTAAGTATGCAGTAGGAAGGAATCGCTCTGGAGTATACACGCACGATCGGTAAGTGCGTCCTCAAGTAAAGGAGTCACTGCATAGACATAATCTACGCACTAACAGTCAGCATTGCTTCTTTAAAACAAGAAATAGAAGTACTTGCCTTTACCCATTTCTCCAATGTATTCTGCAGAATATTCTTGAGTCAGCATAGCCTTTCCAAGAAACATTTTCGAACCTTAAGAGTTACTTGCAGGGTTGCTGTTCCCAAAACATGTTTCAAGATTCAGGATTTGGAGCAAAAGGAGGAATCATGGGCTCCGGAAATACGTACCGAAGAGGAATGAGAGCGATTTGAGCACACCATTCTGTACGTTTAGTTCAGGTACTCTGTACTCGTTCATAAGAGCTGGAAGAACAGTGAATGGCGCGCAGGTTTCAGCAACGATGCCAATGGCGACGGCGGTACAGACGCGCGACTGTCGTTCTTGAACTCGAAGGTTGTTGAGTAGCGTAGCCAACACATCTTGAGGACCAATGGCTTTTGCAATGAACCCGAAGGTGTTGTTTGCTGCACGTCGAATTCCCTTCTTATGTGCTTTGAGCATATCGAGTAGTTCGAAGCAGATTCGCATCCACTCTCTGGCGTTGACGCTCTCAGGACCTCGGTCAGCGATACGGCCTACCAAATCTATGGTGTTTTCTTGTACTTTCTCATGGCGATTCCGTAGGATGGGTGTAAGACGCGGAAGCAGGTCTTTGATGGGTGGCTGCATAGAATTGATCCCAACGACGGTGACAATCGAACGAAGCGCACCAAGTATAGAACCTAAAACTTCTGGATACTCCTCTCCAAGGTACTCGTAGAGAACAATTCCAAGCTTGCCCATCAGGGCATCTTCACCACATTGCTTCATGACCATGGCGATTCGAGAGATGAGATCCGCAGCCTGCTGGCGGACGGTGGCGGATTTGTTGTTAAGCCGCCATAGTATGGTGCTAACAATCTGGGGGAGATAAGGTTTACATCGAGTGCCAAGGGCGTTGACGACAGTACCAAAGCCATTGAGCATGACAATATCTTCAACGCTTTGTTCTTGGAATGAGTGGAGTACACCGTCGATCAAACGCTCTTCGAGCCTCTCGCCGATGTCTGCGGCACCCAGGCTCGCAATGACTTTCTCAATCGTCTCAAGTGTCATTTTTCGGTAAGCCTCGGACTCATCTTTTAGGTTATTGACCACCCTCTCGACAATTTCACTGACACCAACTTTTTGCCCGAGGTCCACAGTTGTCTCGACAACCTGTCGATAGTTTCGCTTGTCCAAGGCCATTCGGCGGACCCAAAAACTTTTGAAGAACTCGGTAAGAACGTGCTCCTTGAGATAGCCGGCAGTCACGCCATCTGTGCCTGCACACTGAGACACGACTTTCAGTACGACCTTCTTCATCTCCTCATCTGGCGACGAGAACTCTCGAAGCAGAATCTCCATAATCTGGCTTGTGTAGTAGTTGGCGTACTCCTCGTCCATCAAAGGGATAATGTAGCCAACGGCTTTGAGAAATCCAGCCAAGCCTTTGCCTCGTTGCTTTCTTGCGCCCGTCCAGAGGGGATTAAGAATGTCGTCAAAGCTTTCGATACCGTAAGGATTGGCAGCTTCGGCAAGTGCAGCGATTGCTAGACTTGTAACAGTTCTGACCTTGGCTTGCTCGTCGTTGAGGTTGTCGCCGATGCAGTCCACCAGACCTTTAAGGTGGGGGAGGATAGCGCATCCCATCAGGATAGGGATCTGCTGAACGATCTTGACTCCTGTGTGTCTGGCTTGCCATGACTTCTTGCTTCTACACACAGCTCGGAGGAAAGGAAGCAGAGCCGGTATGCCAAGAGCCGAAGCAACTACGGCGAAAGCTCTGGCCGTGGTATTTCTGACATATTCATCGACATGGTCGATGTCGGGCCTCATAGTGCTGATCATATGGGCCAAACCAGCTGCTTTGCTGAGATTGGAGATAATTTCGCGACCCTCGACACGAGCGTAATAGTCTTGATCGATGAGTAGCGGTTCGATGACGACGAGAATCTTGTGGACATAGGGACGGACGAGATCGTCGAGCTTGTACAGGACGCGGTCAATGACCTTGACAAGCAAATGGCGCTCCTGGTCTTCGAGCGTCTTTTCCATGAGTAGAGGAAGTATCTGGTTGAAAAGAGGGCCGGCACCGAATTGGCGTGCATTGTCTGTCAATTGCCGAAGCGCGGTCTTGCGCATGGGTGGTGTTCCATTCTTGACTTTAAGTAAAAGACGCATGATCTTCCGCTCCTTGAGCTCTTCGACGGACATGGCATTTTCATCCCCCCCATCAACAAGCTTCCCAAAGTAAGCCATATCCTCGGCCTTGAAGAACTGTAAATCGCCAACGCCAGGGATCTCGGTCGGTAGTTGCTTACCCATCGCTCGGGCATTCTCCGGTTCCTGCATCATAAAACCTCCTAATCCAGTCGAGCTTGCCACAGGTGCTGGTGTGCTTATGAGTTTTCGGGCGGGAGTCCTTATAGGTGCATACCCAGGTGGCGGATCCAGGACCTTGTAGCCTTCTCCGGGCAGCATCATATCAAGCTCTTCATCAGACAAAGGGGCATTTCGGGAGGATATGTCAGTCCCAAAAGTGGTGGGCATCATGACGGCGCCTGATTGAGATGGATGTATGGGAGTTGCTAGGCCTTGTTGGCCGACTGGCGTGGCATCACTAAGAGATGGCGCTTGATCCCACCGCGAGCGTCGAGGAGTAGCATCGATAGCCATCTCTCCAGGGGCTGGCGTTTGATCCCATCGAGATCGTTTGGTTATCGAGTCGGCCGTCTCCGGAGCAGGTGTGCCTTCTCCTGCTACATCCCAACGCTGTTTCCGCTTCCTCCCAGAGGCCACTGTGACTGTCGAACCTGCCTCTCTGTTTTCCTTGTCGCTGCTGTCCTCGTGTTTGAGAGTGGCCTGATGCTCAACGACGCCATCTTCTCCGGTCGCTTGCTTGTCTGTAATGAGCTTCTTGACTCGTTCTTCTTCCCTCTCCAGATCTCTTGCGGCCATAAGCTCACGATAGGTTTGGCCTTGGTCGTCGACTCCTGCTTGACGATTTGCCGCGAATGGATCGGCGCGAGTTGGGGTGAGTGGGCCCCTCGCCAGTCGACCTTTGCGCTCATAATCAGTCTGTCGGGAGGCGATCGTAGCTTGCCTTTCTCGGCCCTGCAATAAGTCCTCTTCTTCCACCCCTCCTCCATGCGCAAACTCGTTCATCTGCGCGTTCGTCGCTGTATACTGCCCCACCAACCTCCTACTGCCACCGTCCCCATTCGCGTCTCCCATCTCGTCATCGCCACCTACTGCAATCGAAGTATCATAACCTGCAAACTTGTCTCCTCCATTTCGATCGTAGAGCTCTGTATCGAAGCTCTCAGTTAGGGAAGCCTTGGTCGATGCGTCAGTTCGCTGGTTTGAAGGGTCGAAAGTCTTTGAACCTTTCTTTCCTGCTGCTGCAGCGTTGCGCTCTGCTTGCAGCTTCTTGACTGCTGCAAAGTCGGCGTCGGACATGTTGGCCAGTTGGTAAGATATTGCCCTGCCCTCTGAGAGAATTTGAACAGTGGTTGAGGAGAAAGCAAAAGCTGCAATTGTTGTGTGAGGAGGTTGACTCACCGTCGATTTTGAAAAAAAGGTACCAACGGCAATAGTTATCCGGCACTAATGAATGATGTGAGTTTTAACCGAAGTTTAACCCAAGCCTACCTTAGAGAACTATGAGGTGAGAATGCACATTCGCCGGAGCATTGGCAGAAATTAATTATTTCGAGGAACAATGTTGCCTCCATAGTCTAACTCCAAATCATAGACAATAAGACACCGGTACCGGTAGACACTATGAGAGCAGAGCTCATTTAGGGCAATAATGGGAGTAATAGAAGTATCAATAATAGCCAAAGCCTATACAGCAGTAGCAGCAGGTATCTCGGCCATGGTGATGTGAAATGGTACATTAAGAATTCAATGGTTTTTTACGGAGAACACAATCTTTGCGACGATGAAACAGGGTTACAGAACGGAACCGTACACATATTCTACTTGTTTTGGAAATATTCTAGCGTTATTTTTAAGCCTTGTTTTTATTAGCCAAGTGGTGGCGTTATTTAGTGGAAATATGTAGGGGTTATTTCCAAAATATGTGGTTGCAGAAGGGGCCCTTACCCTGCTGTCTTCGCTCGATAGGATCACAGTCATGCAGTGAGAGCCTCCAACACGAGGTTCGTATCCGAGCTTTTAGCCTGTTTTACTTCAACGACCAGACTTCCCCGCAAAAGCCAACTTAATAATTAGCATCTTATTGACAGCAACACGCATGGTGTCGAAGGCTTCTCCATCTACTCGTATAATCCAGAAGTGAGTTCTTTGATAGAGTAAGGACACCAATAGATTAACCGATATTCGGCTAAGTGGAAGGATTTATTGGTGTCCTCGCTCTATCAAAGAACTCACTTCTGGATTATACGAGTACATACGGTATACACAATGCTCAGCCTGCGAGGAAGCCTCATCTGCTATGTGGCGCCTCGTATTTGGAAGCATATGACGCGGTTCACTACTGATCACTTCGACATAAAGCTGCCTGGCATCGCCCTCACTTATGACTTAGTCGTTTTTACAGCGATCGCTCCACAGTCTCCAAAACAATAATCCGTCTCTACCAACAAGCTATGGCTCTACTTACCATGAATTACTTTACTATAGCTATAGCAACCGTCATTGCTCAACTCGGGCTTGTAGCAAGCACCCCGTGGGCTGGAAACACGGGGCAATGCGTTGTTGAGCCGCAACCCGGCTATCATTTCACCGTGAGTAACAATAACCGCATTTCTTCCAGTCCTGTCTCCGTGATCTGACAAATAAATCTGCCCAGGCCTTACAAATCTGCACCACTGGCATAACTAAATATACGACTGACGACAGTTACAATATCTGGACTGGTGGAGACCGCGGTAAGACTTATTCCATGAATGGCTCGCTATACTTGGCCTTCCTCACGGCAGGCAGCGATCCCACTTTCGCGGTTCCGCAGCCCTGGGATTCTGGCTTTTGGATCAATACAATGCAATACGGAGTACACCCCTTGTCGCCAGGAAATCGACCGGCCCAGTTTTATCCTCCTCTACCTGGTTCCGACACCAACACTCCCACACCTTTCGACATCAACACATGCACACAGTATGCATGTCAAGATGACCAGCCCTGCGCGTAGGTACTCGACTTGTTCCACTGTGCCAGGCCCTGTAGTTAGTTAACGTTCATCATTAGGTTCTGGGGTAATGCCGGTTCACCTTGGGTTCCGTTTGACGATGCAAACTCTGAGGGTGCTTTCACGTGGTGGAACGATACTTACCATAATAATTACGGGCCCGGCAGTGGCTACACCGTCCTCGACTACGTGAGCCAGGAGCAAACCTTAAACGAGCGTGGCACCGCCAACACACGGTTCGACTGCAAGCGAGCCACTCAACCTCCCTGTACTGATGTCGCCGGCATCGTCGTTAACTACCTCTACGACTGCGTGGCAACGTCCCCTACTACCCTACCCGCACCCGGAGGTAAACAATACAATTCCGGCCTCAACAATTATGGATGGGGCGACGATTGTGGACACAACAACAATGGCGCTATTGGGATACTCCTGGAAGCCGTCAAACTGTACTACAAGGAGTCTGACATCAGGGCCCTGACCACTCAACCTATATACTGCAATGATTATAATAACAGCCCCGATATCTGTGTCTTCTACCGAGGTGTCGCTACCGGCAACGGATCTACAACATATAATTTGCTGAACCAAATGCACAGTTTTCTGGTTGGCGACTCTTGTGGGAGCATAGGTGTCGAATATCCAGAGTATAATGTCGAAGCGTATGGCTTTCTGACCGTCGGCCAAATGGGCCAGGACTGTATCTCACCGACTAACATTACCGTTACCAAGGATGGAGTCACCGGGACCGCTTACGCTTGCAAGGGTTTTCCATATTCTTGAAAGCCTCGCCAGCACTCGTAAGTAGACTCGCACTCGCCTTGTCGCTTTGACGCCACCGACAGCATCATAGCCCTGTTCGCAGCCAGTCGTCAACCCATCTTGTTCAGCTCTTGTAACGGCCTTGTCTTTCTCCGTCAAATTTGTTTTTTTTGTGATAAGCAAGTAGCTACGGAAAATGAAGACACATTGATATGTTGGCTGATATTAGCTACCATCAGTCAGTAAGGTTGGAAAATGCCTCATTGCAATGCTTTTCCTCCTGATTTCGTTCTCAACTACTCGTAGATAGAGTACAATTACAATGAGCAGAGGCCTCAAGCACCTCAAACAAGTTTGAACTCAGAGGGCGACACACAAGCCTGGAAGACGCAACAGCATGCTGAGATTCCTGGCTACATAGCCTCCCTTCGCTCAAGGCTCCCTGTATGAAAGAAATTGCTCATCGCATTCTCCTCCAGTCTTACCAGGCGCCGACCTCGAAGTTCTCCTATAGATGGGTCAGCGTATCTTGTAAGGCCATAGAAGTCAGGCGCCAAACTTACTTCAGAAAAGTAGGTGGTGACCACAGTTCGGTCTGCAAACTTCCTACCAGCCAGTGCTTGCAGGGCCTTACGCGCAGCATCCGGAGTGTCATATTTGACGTAAATCTTGCCAACACCATTCGACTGCCTACTTCCACCACTAGGTCTTGGGACCTTCATCTCAAGCACTTCGCCGTACTTGTCACACTCTTCCTTGACGTCCTCGCAGATTTCTAAAATATGTTAGTCACTCGCCGCGAAGAAAAGCACGTGGTCCAACATGCCTTCGTAATCCTCATTGTCGATGAGCTCCTCTGGTGTGACCATATTGAGCAACTGTAGGACTCGGCCTTCATCAAGGTCGTTCGACGTCGTGCCCGCAAGCATAGACATTGCGTTGACACCCATCTCAAGTCCAGCAGCTTGAGTGACTCCGATACTAGCTCTCGTAACCTTGAGATGCGTGTCACCAAGCTCCATACCATTGAGGCCATCGACCGCATTGTCTGTGACAGCGGGATCGACGTACTCGCAGAAGGCGATACCCTGCGAAGACGTTAATAATGGATAACGGCAATGTACTTATCGCTTACCCTAGATTCCTCGGTACTACTATCTTTGACTAGGACAAAGGCTTTGAGCGGTCCAAAAGCTGTCAAAAGCTCCATTACTTGTTCGTCCGCCAGGCTTGGAAGAAGATTTGCCACGCTTATCTTGTTGGGCGTGTCAGGTACCACAGGCGACACCAATCCTTCTTGGTACTCCTCGTCTTCGACAACGGATGGTACAATATAGTCTTTAGGCCGTCGGACCGAGATGCCTTGAGAGCTGCCGTTAGCGGTGCCATTCGAGGTCTCCATGTTGTCATTATCTTCCATCTTGATGCCATCCAATGCTAAGGCAACGGTAGCCTCGGTGGGGTTCTTGAACTCCAACAGTGCGAACGTCCTATCCTTCGAGATTTGTGCTGATATGCAAGGATCTGGTGCGGATATGACATTGAGTCCATTAAGCTGTAGATTGAAGAAATTGATAATGCCTTCATCCGTAGCCGATGATGGAAGATTGTGAACGAACAGGCGCTTCGACTGGCGAGCATTTGATGGCTTCAGTGCCGCGTTGCCGGCGGAACCACTTGGCTGGTTCATGAAAGCTTGCAATCGGCTTGGGTCCATCGGCTGCTGGCGAGGTGCGCCCGGTAGTGGAAACATGCCTTCATATTGAATGTTAATGCTGACGTTCTTGATCGCTTGAGATTGAAATCACTCGCCTGAAAGTTTTGCCTGCTCTGCCGTGACATTCTCGTAGCCAGGTGGCTTGATGTCCCATTGTGTCAATCTCCGCTTTCTTTCAGTAATGGGTACAGTATCAGTCAGATCAGGTGTGGGCTCCTTCTTCTTTGGTGGAGGACTGGCGCTCTTCTTCCTATCTCTACCTCCCATTTGCATTGCGAATTCGTCACGATCGCTTCTCGGGGGACCTCCACGGCCGCCGGCACCTGGCCCTCGGTCCATGCGACCCTCAAATAGATCTCTGTCCCTCCGCGGTGGGCGATCATAGTCGTCACGCCTAGCATCACGCCGTGACATTCCTCGGTCTTCCCTGTCGCCTCTGCCACCTCTGTCTCCCCTATCCCGGTCCCATGCCCTATCATCTCGAGTGCCTTCTCGACCGTAGCGGTCTTCACGTTCGCGCGCTCTATAGTCACGGCTGGAGGAGTACGAGTCTACATCAGGCTCGCGGCGTCTTGAATCTCGATGTCTGGGAGACCTCGAACGTCTTCTGTCGCCCCCTCGTTGGTGATCCCTATCTCTGTCTCGGCGATCGTCTCTTGAGGACTAGGTACAGATTATCTTTCAGTGAATTGAGGACGATTCAAGGTTTCATGGAGCTTACATAGTGATCCCTAGATGAGCCATGTCTGCCCGAATCTGCGCTCATGGGATTGTTTGTATCAGTCTCATGTTTCCGAATCCTCGGTAGGGCGTTTGTTGCCATGCCTCTTGACGAGTAGCTGTCGCCGTTCATGTTGCGCAAGTGTTGTAACTGCTTGAGTACCAACTTTTCTAGCAGGTGCAGAGCCAAGAGCTCAGTAGTGGTGAATATTGGCCTGATACGAACAAGGCAAAGGCAGAGAATTGTATTGTGATCGGAATCCTTCTGAGGTGCAGCACCAAACGGGAGAGTGGCTCGAGTGGTTCGCAAATTTCTAAGCTAGAAATTCTTAGCAGCAGGACACTCGGTTCAATCACTAATGAATACGGACGCGCCAGGGGCAAGGCGTGTTTTCGCGATTTACTCCAGGGCCCTTCACTATGATTGCTGAAACATAAGTACTCCATCATGGCTACAACGTGTGCGCTGCAATGGCGAAAGATACCTGTGAGTCTGGCAGAGCTCTCACTGGATACGACACTGCGCTGTGGGCAATCCTTCAGGTATTCAGTCCACTTATCCTGTTCTTCTCCATATTTATAATGGATCTAGGTGGAGAAAGTCCGAGGACAATGTCTGGTCTTGTGCTCTTCATGGACGTATACTTTGTTTATGCCAGGACTCTACGCATCTGCACTACAAAGCTATCTTTCCTAGTAAAGCCCAGGCTCCATTGACACCTCCCTCCTCGGCGCCAAAATCGACGGCAGTATCCTCGCTCGAAGACGATGACACTGAAGCCTTGGTGCACCACTACCTCAATCTCGCTCCGAATCTGACGGAACTGTACGAGCAATGGTCGACCGCAGATGCGAATTTCAAAAAGAAAGCGCCAAAATTCACAGGCGTGCGAATACTGAAGCAGGATGCTTGGGAGGCATTGATTGGCTTCATCTGTAGCAGTAACAACAACATAATAAGGATATCCCAGATGGTACGTCGAGCTGCTTAGATACAGTTCTCCATGCTTCTGACACAAGTGATTATCTGCAGATGGAGAACCTGTGCCTTCACTATGGACCTGAAGTCGGCCATATCCGCGCAAAAACATTCCATGACATGCCTGCGCCTTCTGCACTTACGGCTCCTGGGGTTGAAGCTCATCTCCGGCAGCTAGGCTTCGGGTACAGAGCCAAGTACTTACATCGGACAGCAGTCATGGTGGCAGAAGAGCATGGGGCCGGTTGGCTGGACAGTCTGAGGAATCCTGAAAGCCCTATTATGGGTGCCCAGCCTTCCGATGCTGGTGAGATGCTGCCAGGTGGAAGGGAGGGATATCGCAGGGCTCACGAAGAGCTCTTAACCTTACAAGGAGTAGGGCCTAAAGTCGCCGACTGCGTTTGCCTTATGGGTCTTGGATGGGGAGAAGCCGTCCCCGTTGATACACATGGTATGACCTCTCATTCAGCTTCTGGTATTGACTTGTTACCATTTTTGCTGATGACGCCAATCAAGTTTGGCAAATCGCTCAGCGCGACTACAAATTCGGCAAAGGGAAGCACAGCAGTCTGACCAAAGCTACCTATGATGCTGTTGGTGACAAATTCCGGGGCCTCTGGGGGAAAGAGGCTGGCTGGGCTCACAGCGTCTTGTTCACCGCGGATCTAAGAGCGTTCTCAGAAAGACTTACCGCCAAAATTGAAGTGAAACAGATCAAGGAAGACGAAGATGCACAGGTCCTCACAGAGATTCAAGTTAAAGCTGAGATTTTGACCCCGATCAACGTGAAGCGAGAGTTTAAGGATGAAGAGAAACCACTGATTGCTGTCGAGGCAGTCACAGCAAAGAGACCAGTGAAGCGACAACGAACAACGTGCGCGCATACAGAAATAACTCGGTGACCGATAGAGTAATGATTGTTATTTGCGCGATTTGCTCACTGCGTCTTCTGATAATCGGTGATGATGATGATGGTGGGTTTATGCTCATGCCTGACTATTATGAGTCTGACTTCTTGTACGTCGATTAATCAACAGCGCATGCCTGCGTGGTAGCTCAAGACCCAATCGATCATCTGAGATTCCAGGTGCCGTTGCGTCTTCCTCGCCAATAGGCGACCGGGACCTTGCAGCCTTGGGACCAACGCGTGCGTCCGTACCACCTGAAGAGGAAGGAGAATTGAAGGTTCGACGGAAAGTGGGCAGGCCAAGCCAGCCCACGTTAATGTAGCGTTCAGTAGTGGGATAAGGTATTCTGGATTCTCCCCACTATATCAAGAATGTGTCCTCGAGTCTGACCATAACAAAAGCCTGTAAAGGCCTATCTGGTTTACGAGCCTGCGTAAAGAGAATCGTTCCGTGATTGAATACCTAGCAAAATATGATATAAGGCACATAGGGAGCGCAATTTCATGTTAAAATTCAAGGGATGGGTAGGGACTATCCTGTCGTGCTTGCATTGCGATTGGTGTTGGCCTAATCTAACTAGTGCATTTAGCCGCAGATCTAAGGAAAAGGTCGGCCGGGAGGTAGGAGTAGACTTGTAGAGGTAGGTACCTCATAGCAAAATAGTCAACGGGGCAAAACACTCCTCCTCCTCCTCCTCCTCCTCCTCCTCCTCACTTCACTGACTTCCTCCATAACTTCCACGACATCGACATCATTAATTTCTCCTTACTCGACAGCGACAGGTTTGAAAGTGAGACACAGTGCATTGATTCACTGTCGCTCGCTTTAATTAATGCCTAACTTGAGGTACCTGTAACACCCTAGAACCCCTAAACATCGCTCGAAGATCCGCCAACCTGGCTTCATAACCACTACTCCTCCATTGACCGTCGTCCTGACCGATGAGGCTCTCCTCGTTGTTTGGCCCGACGGCGGCTGAATTCGCGTGTATCATACAGCTATGGCCGATTATAACTCTTATTCGACCGACGCAAGGAGTCAACTACACGCCTGTTCCATCTCCAGACCTCGACCTCTCGAAATTAGGTCACGTCGCTCTCACAGGTGACTTTGACTCAATCTCGTTATATACCTACCAGCAGCAATCGGAGAATGCATTCACGACCAACGGCACGCAAGCGCTCATCACACAACTACCTAATGGAGACTTTGCGACTACGGCCGCGGCCGACGGGTATATCAAGGCCTTGTGTCCTTTCGTTATGTCAAGTGGAAAGTTGGCAGGAGTAGTAGTCGGAGGAAATTTCACCGAGTTGGGTGGCATACCGGCGCAGGGTGTTGCAATGTACGACACAACGACTGGGGACATCACCCCCCTGCCTGGCCTTGATGGCACGGTCAACGCAATTCTCTGCGATCAAGACACAAACACAGTCTACGTTGGCGGCCAGTTCACAGGCGCAAATTCAACGAACGCGGTCGCTTGGGTTGGGATGTCTGGATGGGCGAATCTGCCTTTTGAAGGCTTCAATGGACCAGTGAATTCGATCATCAAGGAATCCAATGGGAATGTTATTTTTGGCGGATCGTTTACTGGACTTGGGAACTCGACGACAGTTATGCCTGAACAGCTCGACCAGCAAGTAATCAACATCGCCTCTGCTAACATTTCCTCATCATCGAACACGAGCGCACCCGGCTTCAACAACCCATCAAACATCATTTGCAAGACGAATGGGGATGATGGACCTGGTAATACGTGGCTCCTCGAAGACAACTCGCCTGGGTGGTGGAGAGCGGACATGAACTTTGGGTACGAGCCGAGCTTGCTAAGGATATGGAATACGCACCAGGATGGCCGAGGGACGCAGACATTCCGGTTCACAGCCATACCAATCAACGGCATCATGAATTTTACCTATACAGACCCGGACACGGGCGTAGAAGGGCACTGTGATGCTCTATGTCCTTTGTCATCACGGACATCAGTGCCATACCAGGACTTCAGATTCATCAATACCGTCGGTATGAGCGCATTTCGAATTGATGTATCCGCCTGGTACGGCCAAGGAGGTGGGCTTGATGGAATTGAGCTGTTCCAGAATGGTGAGTTCGATTTCCATGTGCACTTTAACAGCTCGCTAATCCTTCCAGATATCTTTGCCTATGCCGTAGACACGTCCAACGAACCGAGCTGCGCGAACATCCAATATGGCTCCAATGCCACTTCCACTGGTCCATGGACAGTAACGCCATCTTTGCAAAGCAACTCGGAATACCTCACTGCGAATCTTGTTGGGCCAGGCGTCAGCACAAATGGTGTCTCGGTAACCTTTGAGCCAGACATTAGACAGAAAGGCAACTATTCTGTTACCTTATTCACTCCAGGCTGTATGCAAGACAACACTTGCGGTACTCGCGGTATCGTCAACGTCACTGGAATTTATAGTATATCGGGCGTATCGACGTCGACAAACATCTATCAAACCAACAACTACGACAAATATGACATAATATATCAAGGTCCGGTTGATGCGAACAGCGATAGTTTCCGACCTACAGTCACACTTGCAGCTCTATCTGGCCAAAAGGACGGCGTCACACTTGTGGCTCAACGAGTCCAGTTCAATCTCACAGACTCGGCTGGTGGGTTGAATGGTCTATACGAATTCAATCCCAATGCCAACACTACTGAAAGTGATTTTTCGAATTCTGCCATTGACAGTGCAGGCATGGGGTTGAGTGCAGGAGCCATCATTACAACCATCCAAGTGCAGGACAACGTTACGTACGTTGGTGGTAACTTTTCAAACCAGGACGTTGGCTTCGAAAATATCTTTTCGATCGGGAATGGCAACTCTACAGCTTTGCCAAATGGCGGCCTCAACGCCGAGGTTTCCAGTATGATACCATACGCCGACCTGCTATTCATCGGAGGCAATTTCACAAATACCATGAACGGAAGTGTGCCTGGTTTGAACAATATCGCCATATTCAATACCACAAGCCAAACTTGGGAAGCCCTTGGTGCCGGAGTCAGCGGAGCTGTTTACAGTGTAGTCACCCTACAAGTCAACGTTACGACCGATCAGCCAGAAGTTTGCGTATCCGTCAACGGATTCTTCGATCAGATACTGCCTACAGGATCGAGCAAAGCGGTTTCGGTGGCGGGGTTCGCCATCTGGGTACCTACCCAACAGAACTGGCTGCAGAATCTGAATCTCCAGTCTCCTGCGATTTCTGGTCAGCTAAGTGCGATGACCAATGTGACTGGAAGCGCAACTCTTCTCGCAGGGACACTGTCTTCACAAGACATGTCTGCTGAGGACGCGGTCTCTCTCACATCAGATCCTGTCGCCATCAATGCTCTCAAAGTGGGCATTCAGCCTCAACAGATTGGGCCAGTGACCCGCAAAAGAGCTATCAGCGGACAAAATACTACCGGTGTGTTGACAGGGCTCTTCTATAACAATGGCGGCTTGAACGTGACTGTTCTTGGAGGCGCCTTCACAGCCATCGCGACCAATGGTACTACGATCGACAACCTCGCTCTCCTGAATAATACTGGCAGCAACCCTGGCATTGTCTCCGGTTTACCCATAGGCTTGGATTCAGACTCAACCTTTCTCGCTCTCGCTACGACGGGCACTGTCCTCTATGCTGGCGGAACAGTCTCAGGAACTGTCAATGATGCTCCTGTCAACGGACTCATTGTCTATGATATGGGACTAGCGAGCTATCAAAACCCTCAGCCGCCAGCCTTTGGGGGCATCGACGTTGCTGTAAATGCGATTACTGTAAGACCAAATAAACCCGAGATTTACGTTGGTGGCAACTTTGCCACGGCAGGGTCATTAGGCTGTCCCGCTGTCTGCGTTTTCCGGAACGGGGCTTGGAATCAGCCAGGCAATGAGCTTGGTGGGAGTGTCTCCGCATTTGCTTGGCAAGGAAACAACCAGTTACTTGCTGGTGGAAACCTGACAATCAACAACAATGCCACAACTCTAGCTACCTACGACGCTTCCAAGACTGCATGGACAGCTCTTGGTGCCGCCAGCGACGTTCCAGGACCAGTGACAGCACTTGGACCGGCAAACAATGATGCTTCTGAGTTCTGGGTTGCCGGTAAAAGCACTAATGGATCTGCCTTTCTTATGAAGTACGACGGCAGCCAATTCAGGTCGATTGGGGACTCTTTAGGAAAGGAAACCACGATCTTGGGCCTGTCGGTGCTTCAGTTGGGCAAGAACCACGAGAACAGTGACCTCGTCCAAAGTAACCTGGTCCTCCTGGTGACCGGTCAATTGAATCTTCCTACCTTTGGCAATGTTTCTGCCGCACTCTTCAACGGCACCACGTTCTCTCCGTTTATACTGTCCACTTCTGGCAATGGTCCAGGAAGTCTGTCTAGTTTGTTTTCCGAGAAAGCAATCAGCTTCAAGAACCCAGGTGAGATTCACGCCTTTCCACATATACACCCAACCCCTATGCTAATGTTAATCTAGGTGGCCACATGGCTGTTGGCTTCGTTGTACTCATTGCCCTCGCTTGCGCTCTAGGCGCCATCTTCCTGCTTGTCGTCGCTGGCATTCTCATCGAGCGTTACAGACGCAAGCATGAGGGCTACACCCCAGCTCCAACCAACTACTTCGACAAGACCAGCAACATGGGTCGAATACCGCCGGAACATCTTTTCGGCCGCTTGGGCGCGAGTAGAGAACCTCCATTGCTCTAACAGCTTTCAGCGATCTGACGACATGATACCCACTCATTTAATATATCGGCGTTTCTCTTCGGGGCGTTCAGACCTCTAGCGACGGCGTAACGATTCATTTTCATCATCGTGATTGTATAGGAAAAATTCTACTTAATGCTGGTTAGCCACTCCCAGAAAGCGAGTCGGCACAGGCGGTAAAATTTAATCCGGAGGGTTACGGGGCGAAATACTACTGTTTACTCATAATGTCTCTTATGTCGCAGGATCTTGTCTCCGCAGAGCGATGCATCGCCACGGAGTGTCCATCGTTTCTCTACCATCACCTTCAACGAACCACGTCGAGACACGGGTTGATTATAACCTTCATGTACTTCTTTGAGAGAGAGAGAGAGAGAGAGAGAGAGAGAGAGAGAGAGAGAGAGGGAGAGGGGGGGAGAAAGAGAGAGAGGGAGAGAGAGAGAGAGAGTCAGGAGGGGTGTCCATCATGTTATTGTCCTAGACGACAGTATTGTTCGTTACTCTGCGGCGCAAGAGCGTTGGCTTGGGGGATGGAATTGTGAAAATGTGTATCTAGATAATACCACGCAAAAGAACTATCCAGACAACTGCACTATTCGCATATGGCGTCATGCTCACTTCGATTTGATTATTCTGCCTTTCAAATAATTTCCAATCTTCGTTGAGACGAGATTTGCCTCTGATGACAGGTTACGCCAAGCCCATGCCTACGAGGCCCCCACAACAACTTTCTCGACTTTCTTCGTATGATCAGTTTGAATGCCACAACATGTTGTGAAAAACCCATACCAGCACCATGCTTCTCTTAGACTACCAGAATGTGCTCATCCAGTCCCTGCTCACAGAGCGCTTCTCAGGGTGGCCCTCCTTCCCTCCAACGTCTGCGTCAATGCAGTTGCTGATTTGGAGACCAGAGCCCCTCCAGTATCCATTGATCAAGTAGTCTCAGACTTCGACAATGTCGCCTTTCACGTCTCTACGCCCGAAACGAAATCCAAAATCCTCATCTCTATTGCAGTCAAATGCTACAAAGAGCTCCTCCAGTATGGCGCTCAAGAGGTCCTCGAGAGAGAATACGGCACATATATTGTATCTCCGGAAGCGGGCTATGACTTTTCCGTGCTGATCGATCTGGACAACCTGCCTGCCGACCAAGGTGAGCTGTTTTGGGATTAAAGGCTACGAGAGCACAGCTCATGAAACACGTCGCAGAAGCACGAGAGGACTTAGTACGCCGAGTCTCACTTCTCAAACGTAATGCCATGGCCGCACCTTTCGAAAGAGCTTTCGCCGATTTCGCCCGCAGGCAAGAGGAGGCTTCCAAGTTTACGAGCGAGTCTGCGCCAGAAGGCGTACGAGAGGGTGGAGAGGTGATGGCGATCCACTACAGAGACGAAGAGGCTATCTACATCAAAGCGAGTCACGACAGGGTTACGGTCATCTTCAGTACTATCTTCCGAGAAGAGACGGACCGGGTGTTCGGGAAGGTGTTCTTGCAGGAATTTGTCGATGCGAGGAGAAGGGCAATACAGAATGCTCCTCAAGTGCTCTTCAGGAATGAGCCGCCGCTCGAGTTGCAAGGTGTGAGAGGGCTGGCGGATGGAACAAATGGAGAAGTGGGCTACGTGACGTTTGGTAATGCGGACTGGCTGATCGTGGTGAGGTTGCAGCTAACAGACTGTAGTATTATTCCCCAGGCATCTCACGCTGCAACGGAGGCAAGAAACCATCTCCCACATCCAGACTTTTCGAGACTACTTCCACTATCATATCAAAGCCTCAAAGGTAAGGGTACTCCGCAAATATGATGTCGAAGCCCAAGCTAAGATGACATGCTGCAGGCTTACATCCACTCGAGAATGCGACGACGGACGGCGGATTTCCTGCAGGGTAAGTAGCTCAAGGATTCTCTGGCCTTTGCAATGACGCTGATCCCTTGTAGTACTCAACAGGGCGAGACCGGAGAACGAGGAGAAAGAGCGGAAGACAGCAAGCGGTCGAACGTTCAGAGTCCAGGGATGATTGCTCCAAATGTATGTTACCGATCAAGAGGTAGCCAAATCACAGCGACAGGGCAACATTCATGCTTCTCAATTATCAAAGGTCAAGCCGTCTTGCTATTTGAGTCACTTTGTCCATGCTTGGTTTTGTAATTTCTGGGAGTCTCAAACTCCTTCTCGTCGGCGCCTCCCCAGAGACCTTTCCTTCTCATCTTCGCCCACCACTCCGCCGTCCTATATTTTTCTTCCAGTCCTGGACCAAATTCGGCACCCGTCTTCGCCTCGTATACCGTCGCCAGGCCCAACTTCAGCATCCGGTATCCCACATCTCGCCTCAGCAACCACTTTCGCACATACACAGTGGCGACCGCCCTATCATACTGATCTTTTTTGTATACATAGGCCCTCACGCGTCTGTGTAGTATGTATCCTGTAAGCCAATCCAGCGCTTCCTTCGAATATGGCTGCGCAGGGTGGCCGAAATGTGCGCCTTCGGGAGCATCGATGCCAGCTATTCGTATTGAGACCTTTGCCATCAGCCTCTTAATCGCCCAATTACACCATTACCACACGTACGGTATTGTCTTTCAACCCTGCTCTTCCCTCCGGCACCCTTCTCCAAGGCAACCACTCCCATCCCGCCAATCTGCCCCCAGGCATGTGAAACAATCTGAAGCCATCTCCATCGCCCACACTCGTAACCCTCCCAAAAAGGCTCCTCTTTCTCCAGAATTTCGGCGCTATCAGTGCAGCTTGTGGTATGCGTCGTAGGTAGGAGCGGTAGAATGAGTAGCTACCGAGGACCGTTGCTGTTAGGAGAACGACGGGGATCACGTTGCGAGGATCGGTATAGTGGGTCCAGTCTGTTGCATTGAGGGTGTCGGTCCATTTGACGGGCTTCTTCTCGTCTGGGTCCTTGGATGTCCAGGGTGGCCATCGCATGACGGAATACAGCTGCTAAGACAGAAGCGAATGTGGAGTTTGCTTTCTGAATCCGGGGGGTGCTGCAAGCGCGCGGAAACCTTCACCGTGCCACGCGCCAAAACATGCACTGGAGAAATTACTTAGAAGTGTCCAAATCTCTCAACGAATAGCAATTGACTTTTGTTTGACAAACATCTTTCAAAGAGCGTTAAGCCGTGCTGGTTATCGTTCTCTTCGGCCTTGGACTTGTTTGCTGCACATTTTCTTCGCCGTCAAAGCCCAGGAGGCTTGCCTCTGACTGGGCACCCGATTCGGCGACCAGCCTCGAGGCTCGAGCTCACATTCATTCATTGAGCAAACATGCCCGCCAAATCCCGTTTCACTCGGCTAGACGCCTTTACTAAGACAGTAGAAGATGCAAGAATACGAACGACATCAGGGGGCATTGTCACAATAGCGTCTTTGCTCATTGTCTTCTATTTGGTATGGGGAGAATGGTCAGATTACAGACGGGTGACGGTGCATCCTGAGCTCATAGTGGATAAGGGGCGAGGTAGGCAATGAAAGAATGGTGGAAGCCAAAAGTGCTAATATAGCAATTTGCAGGAGAGCGAATGGAGATACATCTCAATGTCTCTTTCCCCCGGATACCCTGCGAACTCCTCACACTCGACGTAATGGACGTATCTGGGGAGCAACAAACAGGCGTCAAAGATGGTCTAAGCAAGGTCCAGCTTGCACCAGTATCTCAAGGTGGTCTCCCGATCTCAGTCTCGTCATTGAATCTGTAAGATTTCCCCAAACCGTGCCCGAGTTTGGCATTCTCACAACCTCCCAGTCACGGCGAAGAATCGGCCTCCCACCTCGACCCCGACTATTGCGGCAACTGCTACGGCGCCATCGCACCCCCCACAGCGATCAAAACCGGCTGCTGCAACACCTGCGAAGAAGTGCGTGAAGCCTACGCCTCTGTCTCCTGGGCTTTTGGCCGTGGCGAAAACGTCGAACAATGCGAACGCGAACACTACAGCGAAAAGCTAGACGCCCAGCGTGGCCAAGGCTGCCGAATCGAAGGCGGATTTCGCGTCAACAAGGTCATTGGAAACTTCCACATTGCGCCAGGAAGGAGTTTCAGCAATGGAGCGATGCATGTGCATGATCTGAATAACTATTTGGATACGCCAGATGGGAACCCACATACTTTCACGCATCACATCCATCATCTGCGCTTTGGGCCCCAGGTACCGGAAATTGTGACACAGAGGCTCGGAGCAAAGAATGCGATGCCCTGGACGAATCATCACCTGAACCCGCTGGATCAGACGGAGCAGCTCACGGACGATCCCGCGTTCAATTATATGTATTTTGTCAAGGTGGTTAGTACGAGCTATCTCCCGCTTGGGTGGCAGGGGAAGAACGGCGCGTTTGGGGGCCAGGATGATGCGCTGTTGAATGATCTTTTGCCAGTGGGAAGTCATGGGAGGGGCGAGGATGGGAGCTTGGAGACGCACCAGTATTCGGTGACTAGTCATAAGAGGAGTCTGAGTGGGGGGAGCGATTCGCAGGAGGGGCATAAGGAGAGGCTGCATGCGAAGTAAGATCGCCGTCCCCTTTGACTTTCCCAAATAATCTTGGCTAACGGTGTACCAGGGGCGGCATCCCAGGCGTCTTCTTCAGCTACGACATATCGCCGATGAAGGTTATTAACAGAGAAGAGCGAACGAAGACTTTTGCAGGTTTCCTAACGGGCGTCTGCGCGGTCATAGGAGGTACTCTGACTGTTGCTGCGGCGATAGACCGGGGGGTGTACGAGGGTGCTACGAGGATCAAGAAATTGCATCAGCGGTGATGTTGGAGATTCTGTATTATAAATGTCCAAGTATTTTGTTCCAATGTAAAGTCATGCCTGGTACACCTACAGGCAGACTTATGCGGAGACCTGTCATTCGGAATCCATTCCCAAGTAACTTTGTTGTGTAGGCATTACGAGAAGGCCAAAGCGGCCTGGCATCACAAGCCTATCTCGTCACAATCGATGTGATAACACTGTCTGTCATAGGGGTCTCACGTCTCGGCTGCACTCGCCGGCTCAAAGAAAAGATTCTTCACACATTCATATTGATTGACAGCGTAGTGGGGGCCGTGAGAGTACCTCGCAATTTCCATAGACACATCGTTCACGACGATAAGAGACCGGCGGAGTCGTGGTGGCAATCGGTCTTGCATAATCGCCTCGGATCCCATTCGATGCGTTTTGGTCTCTGTGATTGGTTCCAGACTCTTGCAACTGCTGACTGTACGAAGGAGGTGGAAAGTGAACCACCATGAAGCCGTCCGCTTCAGTCAGCACGATGTGCGTAGCCCTGAGGCTGCACGGAAATGTCTGTTAATTTCTTTATGACCGGCCCGGTCTGCCATCTTTTCCAGCCAAAGATGTCGCCACTCTCTCTCTCCCAAAATTGAGAGATCTGCGAACGGCGAAGTCTCCACTGTGAGCGGCGCTCGAGGGTCGGTGTCAGAGTACATTGCCGACTTCAGATATCCGCTAGTATCGTTGAACAATGTATAACTCTATCAAAACACGAGCTGAAAGGTTTAAACTTCTGTTGAGTATCTCTCACAATCTGAAGAACAACGTCGACGAATTTTGAAGACTTTGAAGCAATTGGTGGGCGTTGAGAATTTTTTCAAGTTCGACTTTCGACAATTTTGATTTCCGCGAAGTCGGCGCTGCTACTGCAGGAGCCACGCTCGCATTCGTAACCATGAACTGTAAGAATTTTGCCAGGCAGGAGGCTCCGCTCTCCCTTCCGATGAGATAGGTAGAAACCTTAAGAGTCTCCACAAGGGAGCCTTCGGCCAGCATGACCCCACAGTTGGTATGAAGAGAAAAGTTCTGTTATGCACAGTGATTGGAAGCCCGTTAAGCCTAGCTCCTTCATTCTTGCCGCTGACGCTTAAAAGAAAGTCGCCCATACCCTTACCAGTCAGAACTTAGATCACCAACGGTCATCATATCGAATGTTCTTTGCAAGCATTCGATCCTGGCGAACCCGTGATTCGTAACGTGACTGGCCTGATCACGAGAAATGGGATCCTCATGCCTACGAGTAAACCATGCGGCGGGTCCATCGTTCCGCTAGAAGTGTCTGCATGTACTCCTACAGGTCAGCTCGCTGGGCAATCTACATCAGACGAAAGGACCTCCAACGCGTGAACGCTGAACTGACACGAAAACGAAAGCTGAGAGGCTCAGCCTTTCGTAATAGTCCTTCATGGAATTCCTCTGGCCTGGGCCGTTCGACGGACCGTGTTGGCCAAGCTGACTGCTATTTGCGGTCAGGCCGACAGTTGGAGCGTATTCCATCAGCAGTCTATCGGAGTGCAAGTTGCGAGAGGATTCAAGCGACTTTTAAATACACATTGTCTACTGCATGGCATGCGCCATCGTGCAGAGGGTTCGGAGCTCGGCGATGGGAAGAGCGCTGGTGTGGATCAGCCTTGCGGCCTGGACCTGGTAGCCACCTCCTGCCTGGAGGAAGGTAGGGATTGCCCCAATCTTTCGGGGCTCTTGGGGTGGTCCTCCAATCGGATTCCAGGGCTCCACTGCGCTATCTCCAAAGTCGCATCTCCTCCGGCGCCTCGCCACAGAACCCAGCGACTGATCTCCCACCCATTCAATCACTTCGACTGTGATGTTGCGCCTTAGCGCCCTTCTTTCGCTCTTCCCTAACCTGCTCTAGCCTGCAACTCTTCAACGACACATGAGCCGAAGGAGGCTTTGCAGGTGTGAAAGTCATTTTAATCCACCCTGTCATTATTCAGCTCATTGGCCGCATGCTCAACCCGCGCCGTTGGGCCCGGACTTCGACGAGGCTCAACATGGCAGTCCTCAGGATCACCTTGCACCCATGCTCTCGTGCTTACTGGCTCCCTCGAGATACGCTCGATGGGCACACCCTTCTAACCGCGGTCTACAAGGGATCAATGTGGATCAGACTCTGCCAAAACGCCATCGTGCGAGTTCCCCAATAGAGTCATAGCTCTGAAAATGGCGGGTGATATCTCTATTTGTATTAATCACTTTAATTCCCAATCTCGAATCACTGTTTCTCTTTTCAATTCAATTGTGCAATCTATGTGACGTCCTGCAGCATCTTCAAATGAGCTTCTGGTGCCTTTTCCATCGTGCTTCTATAGACTCCATATGCCTGTGCTGCGACGCGTTGTTGCTCTTCTAGACTCACAAAAGCTTTTCAAAAATCTATGACACAAAACATTGGGATGCAGAACATTGAAACTTGGAGCATGTGTTTTGTGATGATGAGATGTTGAGAGTCTTTGATGGACCTTGGACCAGAACATACATACTGCCATCAAACTGCCGGAATATTTCGACGCGAAAACGGCAAGCGCTCTCTATCCAATGGCAAACTTGACGGTCGCGCGAGGACTTTGCACTGCGCCTTTTTTGCAACTGTCAAATTTCCCTAGCACTGTGGGATGTAAGTGCCTTTTAGAGAATCTCGAATGCTCTTCAATTTCTTGCTGACGTGCATTCAGATCTCGACGGCCGATTCTGCGCTCCTGTACCGTCCGCCGAAGGCACCGTCGATTGTTGCCTACCATGTCCTATAACAGAATGGGTATACTCTGACGGTGCGTGATAGCTGGTTCGAGAAATCTGATACGGGGAACTAAGAGCATGCATAGACTTCAATACGATACCGAAAGCCGCAAACTGGCTCAATGTTGCGGGTATGGTGTGTTCAATGTCGCTGCTCCTCAGCTTCATCGTCCTACCGGTGCAGAAAACCAACCGGCATTACCTTACAATTGGCCTGGTAGTCGCGATATGCTTCTTGCAAGTACGTCGTCCGATGCCAAGTACTCAGACAGATGAGCTGACCACCGTAGTTGGGCTTCATCATTCCTTTGGGTGTCGAGCCAGAGCAGTGTTATGATGCTATCACACCAAACGATATGTATTCAGATATGACCTGTGCTTTCTCCGGCGCTTTTCTGCTGTTCGGAGGCTTTGCAGCGATTTTGTGGGGTGAGTACATCCATCTAATCTTAGGTACTGACATACTGACATACCGACCGTTGAAGGCTTTCTTCGTTCCTTATCGATCCACTTGCAGATCTGCTGGCAAGTTGTGACGGGGAAAAAGTTCTTCTGGTCTTCGCTCATTGCAGGATGGGGTCTACCGGGCTTGTTCCTTGCAATCACACTTCCACTTACCGGGACCTCGTACAGATTCGGGAACACATGTCACATCAACCACACAAAAGCTGTGCAAGACTATTGGGGACCTCTTTTGGCCTTCGCCGCCATCTCGACTATTTTGCAATTTGCTACTTTCGGCTACTGTATCAAGGTATACATCAAATCACTATTTGACGATGGAAGCACCAACTCCATAACGCAAGTCAATTCCGGTCTCCCCACCCATTCGTCTCACAGTGGCAGCATCAAGACTGTGACTGCCGGACAAGCGTATCGGAGAGTAAAGAAAGTCATTCGGTTGCAATGGCGAGGAACTGCCATAGTGCTTATCATTATCATAAACGTTGTGTTCTTGTCAATCGTTTTCGTCCAGATGGACAATACCGTCACATCGGCTGTGCAGGATTTACAAAAGGCAGAGCCATGGCTGCTTTGCTTGGTCACCAATGGCGGCGACAAGACCCCCTGCTTGGACAAAGTGAAGCAAGAAGGTTTAGTAGCGAACGAAGGAACGGTCATGGCGGCCTTGGTCTTGCTCTCCGTGAGTGGACCTAGTCCAAAGACAAATACTGATTATGGCTGACTTTCATCCCAGCTAAATGGCATATGGACTCTGCTCTTCATCGGCCGAACCTCCATGCTCGTTGGCTGGATAGACCTCGTCCGACGTCCCCTCACAAAGCGAAATGACTTCGCCTCCGTCGATGCCCGCGGTTACTCTAACAGCCCCAAAAATTACGAAATGATAACCTCACCACCAACAACGTCTGGTATGCCCAAAACATCCGACCCCGTCGTCACGAGCCCACGCTCAGAACACGAGGAGGGATCACCACAATCGCCACTATCACCCTCAAGTCAATATACAAACGACTACTTCAATAAAGAAGCTGACTCCAAAAGCCAGCAACTGAGCTTTTCTCTGCCTCAAGAAGCAGACTACAAGAGTCCAACACTGAGCTTCTCTCTGCCTCAAGAAGCAGACTACAAGAGTCCAACACTGAGCTTTTCAACCCCACGACCGCCGAGTGCGGGTAGGTCCTTCTCAAGGGAGAGCTACGGGAGATCTTACCAACCGCAAATGGGCAGAACCAGCCCAGGGAGGCCCTTTTCTCCTCCAACAAGAAGAGAAAGCGGAGGGTCGACTTTCTCATCAGCATATGACTGGGATCCAGCGACCACACATGCTCCGCCGAGTACACATGTTCCATCCTAGAGCAGGTCGGATCCGTATAAGGTCTAAAGAAGCGAGCGAGCTCTTGCTCTTTTCCATTCTTACGATTTATTGATAGCGATTCTTCTACCTATGGCATTGTAGGATTGATTGGTTAGCGACGCATTCGGAGGGAAAAAGCGCTTGGAGTATATGTCCCCGCGTGGGCTACTACCGTTCGTTCGTTCGTTCGTTGCGATGAGATTTAGCGAGCATGGGAGCTTGATTGGGAGGAGCATCCGGCGTGCACACAGGGCTTGCCGTAGCCCAAGCCTGGAGCTTCGGGGCACATGCGTCCATGAGCATCGAGAAGCTCACACCACATAAATTCCTCAGGCATCAGAAGCCACTTCTTCACTAATCACCGTTTCAGAGAGTCAAAGGTGTCAGCTTTGCTCAGCTTGAAATCCTGAGGCATCGATGTTCCCGTATTCGAATCCTTATGCATCCACCTACTCTATCGTCTCACGTCGGTAGTCTCTGGCCCCTTTCCCTCGCAGCCTGAAGGATTTCGGCAAGACGCACTTCCCCAGCTACCGTTCGCGAATGCCATACTGTAGTCGACCGTCCACGAGGAACAAGCACCAAAATCTGACACTAACCCACAATCTGACTGTACCTGAAATCCTCCTGATGAAATCTATCCCCACTACCATCCCTGTCTGCCACCATCTCCACGAACCCTAATGTAAGCCCCCTTTTCGTTTGGGATACCGGTCCTGCGAAAGCCAATTCGCGAGCCGCTTTTGCAGCATGTCATTTGGTACCTTCGAATTCCTTCCGGATCCTTGGTACTAGTACGCGTCGATGCGGAAGGATCATCTACAGCCTCGAGGGTTTGAAATCGTCGTCACGACTCGCGCTTGTACGGAGCCCCGACGGGTCATTCCAGAGGTGGTGTTGATGATGCCATCATTTTGAAAGCAGGAGAGTATCAGAGGCTGATTGGTAATCTACCGGACCGTCATTCCGGAACTCTCTACGCAATAGTAGACACGGCCGGTACGTGTTTCTATCCGTGATATCGTTATTTGTGATGCGGGTGAGGCGTACGTCCAGGCCCTGGGCCCTGCTCCATGTAGCTTTCCGAGTGCGAACGCCAACGTTGATCTCCGCGTGTATATGGAACGCCTGCTCGGGCTCAGCTGGGTTGCAACTGGTGGCTTGCAGGCGATAGGTAGGGATAGCGGGTCAAGCGATGGTGCTTGACAATCTCCACTTCAGTACCGGCTCTATTATTGAGCATCTCTTGCCGGGTCCACGGCTGGGTTCCTGAGGGCTAGCGCACGGAGGATGGTTCGCTGGGTTTAGAAGCAATTCAGGAAGGAAGCAGCTGAGGCCAGGTGTAAATTTGGTCTTGAAGAGCAAATGGGAGTTGCGGTCTTGCATGCATGAGCTGGTTCCTCAGGTCATCTCAGACTCCTTTTTAACCGGTGTGCATTGCTTTCGACGACACGGAACAAGCACATTCCTTCCAACTGTACCTAGATTTCATGCCTAGTGCGGACTAGTAGGGGACGAGGGCTCTGAGCATTGACAGTCAGCCAACAAGTCCAGACCAAGGCCTTCTTGCGCTCAGTCTGTTTAGAGGTGCGAAGGCTCACGGATCTCCAAGCCAAAGCATTGGCTATTAATATGTTCAGGCAAGTCAGGCGAAGTGTCTTCTTAGTGGATCTGTACCGCTACAACCGTTATCGTGCCAACGGTGTTTACTCTCTTCAGCACCCCAGAAACGACCAATCGGCTGTTGCGGAAGATGTCTTCAGCTCTCGAGCCAAGAATACCGTTCCAATGAGAGGAGTCTTGTGGCTTAATACGGTCTGTTAGGAGCAGATTTATAGAGAGATATGGCTTGAATCATAGACGGCAAGTTGTCTGGTTTGATCTCATTACATCCCAACGAGGCTGCTATGTCAAGAATTTCGTGCAGCAGCTTCTCCCCAACGCCTAAGCCACGTCCTGCGAGTAGAACGTAAAGCCTGTTCATCTCACAGAAGTCTGGCGGGAAAAGCGGGCGTACAGCAACGCATCCCATAACAGTGCCATGACTGCCACGAGCCAGTAAAGTCTCATCAGTCGGAGGAGCATAATTTCCTGGAAGGGACTTGAGCTCCGTATCGAATTCCTGAAATGGAAGATCCAATCCTAGTGAATCAGCGTATGCTGCGAATAGCTGGGCCGTGGATTCCAGATCTTGGGCAAACGTGCCCGTTCGATACTGATGATTTCCGGCTCAGCCATCTTCTGCATATTTTTATGTGGGCCTTGGGTCTTCAGATAAGTACATGAGGTCGAGATGGGGCTACATTTCGAGGTTATTTCAGGTAGGCCTAATTTCACGCGATGCGAAAACGCGTCGGTTTTAATTCGGTAAATCTTCGGCAGTTGAATTGGGAGTGCGAAAAAAGACAAACAGGACATCGATATTTGACAAGGTCACTGCAACATGGTGAAGTCTTATCTGTAAGTGCGTCTACCAATTCCCACACCCTATTTGTTGCTTTGCTGACCGTCGTAGAAAGTATGAGTATTCCAATACCTTTGGCCTCATAACATCTGCTTCTTCCAACGCTGTCTGGTGTGAGGACGAAAATGTTCATACTGCAGCGCTACGTTCCTCGGGTGCAGGAAGAGCCATTGTGGGCGCCGATGAAGAGGTACTATGTTGGGACCTGAAGAAGGGGGAGCTCCTGGGAAGGTGGAAAGATAGTAGTTGCAGCGCAGAGGTCACAGTTATAGCCCGCAGTAACGCCGATCCAGAGATTTACGCTGTAGGGTATGGAGATGGAAGTATAAGAGTATGGGACTCCAGAATAGCTACGGTCATAATAGGCTTCAACGGTCACAAGTCTGCCGTCACTGCATTGGCCTTCGACAAAGAAGGCGTTCGCCTTGCCAGTGGTGCAAAAGATACGGACACCATCGTATGGGATCTAGTTGCCGAGGTTGGACTTTTCAAACTTCGAGGACACAAGGACCAAATCACAGGTCTTCATTACCTCTATACAAGTCATCGACATTCGACCGTGAACGGCGACACAAATGGCAACGGAGTACATACCGACAGCTATAACGGAGACGATGAGAAGCACGCAGGCTTCCTGATATCTACCAGCAAAGATGCGCTCATCAAGCTTTGGGACATCGAATCGCAGCATTGTATAGAAACGCATGTTGCTCAGACTAATGGCGAGTGCTGGTCAATGGGAGTATCGGCTGATCAATCAGGTGCCATCACAGCAGGAAACGATGGCGAACTAAAAGTCTGGTCAATAGACCTGGTAGGTCTGAGCGAGGCAGCCAGTGAAGTTTCCGAAAGCTCTCCAAAGACCTTTCTTAAAGAAAGAGGCATCCTGTACAGACAAGGCAAAGACCGCACCCTAGGCGTGAGCTTTCATCCGCGCGGCAGCTATATTGCAGCACATGGCTCCGAAAAAGCTGTAGAGCTTTGGAGAATCCGGAGCGAGAGCGAAGTACAGAAAACCTTGGCAAGGAAGAGGAAGAGACGAAAGGAGAAAGCCGTGGCAGCAGCAGGTCAAGACACCAAAGGAATTGATGAGCTAATGGACAGCGAAAAGCAATCCGAAGACCTGTCATCAGCACTCATAACGGACGTCATCGTTCCCTATGTTATAGTCCGAACCGCTGGTAAGGTCCGGTCATTCAGTTGGGCTGGCCGGAGATCAGGTACAAGTCTCCATCTACTGGCGGCGACTACGAACAATCAGCTGGAACTCTACAACGTGACGACGAGGCAAAAGGAAAAGCATTCTAAACCTGATGAGCCACCGGACTATACTCGGCCTTTCTCTGTCGATATGCCGGGACATCGCACAGATGTGCGATCTTTAGCTCTCAGCTCTGACGACAGGATGCTGGCGTCTGCAAGTAATGGTAGCTTGAAATTATGGAACATACGCACACAAAGCTGCATTCGAACACTCGATTGTGGCTACGCGCTTTGTGCCACTTTTCTACCTGGAGACAAGATTGTGATTGTCGGCAATCGGAATGGGGAGCTAGAGATCTTTGACATAGCTTCGTCTACGCTAATAGACACTGTCAAGGCCCACGAGGGACCTGTGTGGACACTACATGTGCACCCGGATGGCAGATCTATGGCTACTGGCAGTGCTGACAAGTCGGCCAAATTTTTCAACTTCGAGGTCGTCCAGGAGGAAATACCTGGGACAAAACGCTCAACGCCTCGCTTTAAGCTCGCCCATACCCGTACCCTCAAAGTCGCCGACGACATACTCAGTTTGCGCTTCTCTCCCGACTCACGGCTCCTTGCTCTCTCGCTCCTTGACAACACTGTCAAAGTCTTCTTCGTCGACTCATTGAAGCTCTTCCTCAATTTGTATGGCCACAAGCTGCCCGTACTAAGCATGGACATCTCTTACGACAGCAAGCTAATAGTTACCTGCTCAGCCGACAAGAACGTACGGCTCTGGGGTCTAGACTTCGGCGACTGCCACAAGGCGTTCTTTGCACACCAAGACAGTATCATGCAAGTGGCATTCGTTCCTCACAACCAAGACGGCAATGGTCATCACTTCTTTAGTGCAAGCAAAGACAATATCATCAAATACTGGGACGGTGACAAATTCGAACAAATACAAAAACTTGAAGGTCATCACGGAGAGATCTGGGCATTAGCCGTGAGCCGAACGGGAGAGTTCCTCGTCAGCGCAAGTCATGACAAAAGTATCCGAACCTGGAATCAGACCGACGAGCAGATATTTCTGGAAGAAGAGCGAGAAAAGGAATTGGAGGAGCTCTACGAAAGCACACTCACTACTTCCCTCGAGCAAGAAGAAGAAGCCGGCGATGAGAAAAGCGAAGCCGTTACTGCTGGCAAGCAGACGGTTGAAACGCTCATGGCGGGCGAGAAGATTGCCGAAGCACTTGAAGTCGGCATCCCAGATCTGGCTATCATGAATGAGTATCATCGAGCCAAGGCGACGCAGCCGAATCTAGCACTACCACAGCGCGATCCCATCTTCCTAGCTTACAATCAAATCTCCGCCGAATCGCATCTCCTCAATGTTATCCAAAAGATCAAAGCTGCCGCCCTCCAAGACGCTCTCCTAGTCCTCCCGTTTGATAAAGTCGTCTCCCTCTTCACCTTCCTGCGCATCTGGGCTGAGAGGCAGTGGAACATGCCATTGACCTGCCGTATCCTGTTTTTCATGCTCAAGACGCATCATAAGCAGCTCGTGGCAAGCAAATCGCTGAAAGTGATGTTGGATGGGATCCGCGAGCAATTGAGAGGAGCGTTACAGGCGCAGAAGGATGAGATGGGATTTAATCTTGCGGCGTTGCGGTTTGTAGGGAGAAGAATGGGAGAGATGGGTCAAAAGCAGTATGTGGATGAGAAAGTCTGGGAGGAAGAAGAGGTGATTGGCAAGGGGAGGAAGAAGAGGGGTTTTATTGATGTAGCTTGAGGCTGCTGTAGAACCAATAAGATTCAAAAAATAAAGCTCAAGACGTATGGTGTGCCCTTTACTCTCGTGAATATCTCTTTCTCTCATCTACAAGGTTGAAGAATGCAGGTTGTCCATTGGCACAGTATTGAGCGTATCCACGCATTGCCAGGACCTCCAGTGTCTAGGAAAGCCAGCTCACGCATCAGAAATCAGGGCACATTACAATAGATCCGTTCGGGGCAACGGAGCGACAATGGCTCAACGGCAAAGGCGCTGCATCAGTTAGATTAGAGTCCACCACGCACGCAGCTAATCAATTGAGGCCCGATTGGTCCCTTGGAAGTGAGCTCTGAGCTTAGTCAGATACGAGATGATTTCCCTAAAAGATTGGAGGCCCCCAATATTTTTGTTTGGGGGGAGGAGAGCTTTGGCGGTTTTGGTGTGGTATGTAAGGTTGAAGAGTATTCAAAGGTGTATCGATGGGGTGCGGGCGGACGCTCATTGACATATCGTTCGCTCGGTAATGATACATATGTGGCTTAAGTAGCAGAATGTCGATCTTGGTCAAATCGTAATGACTACTAGTCCGGTCATTCAGACCAAACCAGTCACCATCGTCACGTCGAGACCTGTCCCGGAATGCCTGAAAAGAGCAAATTCATTGGGTATCACGCAACCCGGTCCCCTGCAGTCATTCTTTTGGGCCGTAGCCCCCAAACCACCACGGACGCTGGTAGTCCCCGTCGTCTCAAACCCCCCCCCTTCTCTCCTGGTGTTATCTCCCGCAAAGCTCCCCAGAAACCCATCAAGCCCTTACTAACCCGTAGAACAGCGTCCACGTCAGCACAAAACTCATACCGCCGTTCAAGACATCTCCGGCCCACAGCTCGCTCCACACTCCCTGGAAGTAATCCCTTTGTTTGCCCTTTGCTAATATGCTCCAGATGAGTATCGAGACGAAGAAGGTGCCGAGGAGGTAGAAGAGGAAACCAGAGTAGGACTCGAGACCGAGGATACCGGAGGCGACGCCGAAGAGAGAGGCGGTCAGGGAGCGGATGTTGGAGATCACCTATGGGGAAGAGTCAGTGGTTGCAGGGCTTGGAACTGGGTTGCAAGAGAGATTTAGGAAGTAAATATACCTGGGTGTTATGTTGGACTGATTCCTGGACTAGAGGGGAAATGGCCAGCTCGCGCTCAGTCGGCATGATTGACTTGGTGAAGCTTCGATGAAGCTGAGTTCAACATTTGGAGAAGAGGTGTGGTCACTTGGTATGCCGACGTGCGCTAACCTACTGAGCGGCTAAATAAGTGTATTTTGCGGGGACGAGGGTTGGTGACAAAAGTCGTTGCACACCAATCCCCGCTAAGCCCTACCAAAGTGTGCAACGACTTTTGTCCCTCGGGAGGATTCTTGCGTCGATTTTTCGAGACTGTCTCGACTGTCTAGATTTCCGTTTCGATTGAGCAATTGTATACAATGGAATCGAACAATGATCGTACCTGATCCTGTTCGACCATGAACAAGAAGTTCCTGGACCCAGAACATCGGTCTCTCCCTCGACACGTCCTCTTCTGCCAACAGCTGGTATGAGAGCTGCCATCCGAAGCCGTGCCTTTCAATCTCCCACGCAGCAGCGATGGGTCACTTCCTCACCTACAGTCTCCGTCTCGGGCACGACTACCCCCTTGCCAGCCAATGCCCTTAACCAGAAACCCAAGTCGCCTTTCTACTTCGACACCGGATATTCTCTCTTCGCCAAACGCCCCTCTCGGCCATTCCCTCCACCTTTCTTCTCTCCGCCTTCGGGATCCTTTTCAGACCCGTTGAGCACGCACAACCGAAGCAGAGATAGGAGAACATACGTGAATGGAGAATTCATAAGGGGTATCACCAACGGAGATGACGCTGTTCTTGTAGGAGAGAACTTTATAGGGGCAAACGATGGGGTTGGGGCTTGGGCTGCGAGGGAAAAGGGTCATGCTGCGTAAGCGCTGCCATTTGAATGTCAATGGATGTCTGTGTGCTGACATTCACAGGCTCTGGTCCAGATTAATCCTCCATTTCTGGGCTCTGGAGGCAGAACGGGATGCTTCTGTCACAGACGCTGCTGCTACGTCTTCGGAGCCTGAGCCGGTCGAATATCTACAGAAAGCATATGAGCAGACAATAGCAGCGACTTCGTCACCAAATGAGTGGAATGGTACTACAACTGCCTGTGCCGCTCTTCTTCACTACAGTACCAACGAACCCAGAATACCACTCCTTTATGTAACGAATTTAGGAGACTCCCAGTGTCTAGTTATGCGCCCTAAAGATCAGAGCCTTATCTACAAAACTAGCGAGCAATGGCACTGGTTCGACTGCCCACGGCAACTGGGTACCAACAGTCCAGATACGCCCATTGCTAACGCTGTTATGGACAAGGTAACCATCGAAGAGAACGACGTGGTGCTCGCCATGTCTGATGGTGTCGTTGACAATCTCTGGGAACATGAGGTTCTCGCGAATGTCGTTGACAGCATACGAAAATGGGAGTCTGGAGCAGGCGGGGAGGCTTCCGGAGACAGAGCAGGTGGTGCTGCTGGTGGTATGCTCTTTGTAGCGGAAGAGCTCATGAAAGCTGCTCGGATCGTCGCCGAAGACCCTTATGCTGAAAGCCCCTTCATGGAAAGAGCAGTGGAAGAAGGTTTAGCTATGGAAGGAGGTAAAAACCACTAATTCTTGAGGGTCTCTTATCTTGCTGAAGAAACGCTAGGCAAATTGGATGATATCAGTGTCGTGGCAGCATTATGTCGGAAGCGAGGTGGCTGACGATCATCGGATCCAGCGCGCTGCAACCTGGACCAATGCCGTCTCATAGGCTTAATTTCACCTTGAGGTAAACACCGAAAGACTGTAGCATACCACTTCCAGGGCATTGAGCTTCTAGAGACTCTATCATCGGTGTTCGGGTTTTCAGCTTTCGAAACAAAACAGGACGTCGACGATCTCCAGGACGCTGGGGATGTACAATGTTGCTGGCCCCGCTTGCAGTGGTCTTCTGACCTTCGAACGTTACAGTGAAGCTGACAAATTCATCACGCGGCAGGACAACGCATCGTCGAGCATGTTTCACTCTTAGATCAACTTGTGAGTCACCCCACTGGGTTCAGCACTCTAGATTTCCTAGCCTTGGACCATTACCCCATGCTGATGAACCTAGGATTCTCGTGTGATGCAGAATCTCAAACTCTGCCTTGGGTATCTCTGAATCAGAACCACACCGGAGCAACCACTTCATGGTACGACCCTGGTCTGCCACGCCAGGAACGAAGAGAAACAACGTCGAAGAATCCTTGAAAACCACTAGTGATCGAATTGGTCGTAAAACCACGAGGCCGTGTACAGTACCGACTCTACAGCCACAGGCTGTACAGCGGCTCTAGGAATTTGTAGGGTTTGCGCAAAATCAATAGGTCCCTAGCCACTAAGGCTCTTCGCAAAACGAAGAGAGTGACGTCGTTGCACTGCGAGAGTGTCAGTTGTTGCATCAGTGAAAAGACTCGAACCTACATTGAGACTCCATTTGTTGTACGTAGGATTACGTGTCTCCAGAAATCTGCTAACACGTCGGCAAGGGCAAACAAGATCTTGATCTCGAGGTCATCCCTTTGATTACTAGAGTCCCAAGCACTGATCGGTGGGCTTGACAAACAGTCGAAGCATCCTGCCGAACGATTATCATGCCTCTAGCACGAATGCTAAAGTTTCTCTGCTCAGGAAATATAAGACCCACCATTTCCGCTCCTCTTGAAAGCTCACAACCGCCTCAAAGCCCACCTTTATATACCTTGGAAAGTATGGAGCTTCAGCTTGCAAGGGTGCATGCGGAAAATCCTATCAGCATTCAGCCCGCAGAATCCAAACATCTTACTCCGATGGCCAGGATTCATCTGGCTGCCTTCCGCAACGACGATTGTGTGAAATTTCTATGTAGCGACGAAACCCATTGGATTATTGTAAACACGATGCTCGGGGAGCGTCTCGAAAATCGACCCTACGCGATTAGTGTAGCCATGAACGAAAGACTGGGTCGGGTCGTCGGCTGGCTTTGCTGTAGTGTCGTGGGGTACCAGGGAAGTTCAGATTGGGACGGACTTGCTCAGCTTGCATGGACGGTAGCAGCAGCATTCAAGGCGGCGGAGGCTCAGAGGAAGCTTAGTAGGACTTCTGGAGAGAGCGAGCACAATTCTCGTCAGGCGCAGCGGAAGATGTTACGGGAAGCGATCGTGTCCAGAACGAAAGTGGCGCAATCGCTCGCCATGGGTGATGACGTCTACTTGGTCATCAACAATGTGGCCACGGATCCGGAGAATGATCTTGGCGGTGTGACGCCCAAGCTCATCTGTTCGGTTACGGACAGTGCCGACAAAGATGGACTCTCTGTCTTTGCCCAAGTTCCGCTCTTCGCTGTGGCGGACTTTGAATGGGCTGGGTTCCAACAGATTGCCGGATTCGAGCCGCAATTGGATATACATCAGCTCAAATTCATGGTGCGCAGGCCCAAGGCCAGATAGTAAGAAAGGACGTTAGGAGTGAATGGTTGCTCGCCTCGAAGCTTGGCCATCCGTAGCTGGAGTCTTCCAACGAGCTGGCTTCCGCAATATAGCACGACTGACAGCGGCTTTGGAACACTATTCCCTCTCGGGAAGCTATATGCTCAAATTCATCGTTCGCAGAATAAGGCGCGAGTCGGCATGCAAAGACGCTGGGAAGGAAGGGTTGACGCTTCAGAAGGAAATGCATGAAGGTTGATGTCTCGATCTCAAACATATTTGAAATTGAGACGATAGATTTACAAGCTATGGGTCTTTACGAATGGACTCTGCGGCTGCAGGATTGCTGGAGGTTTGTGCAATTTGTGAAGAGGGCGCCGGTGAGGGTGGGAAGTGTCTGGTGGCGGATTTCTCATGGAGTGGTCGGTGCCATTCAAATACTGTTACTTAACCCACGATTTATATTGCCCATCGATATAAATACTTCAGGTGTCTTGTTTGCCAGATTTGAGATTCCATCCTCTTCGAAATAAGCTCGCTAAACACGTCATTCTAGTAGTTTGTACTACAACTCCGAAAGCCTACCACCTCGCCGTACGGTTACCACGAGCAGCCTCCTCGACTGTCAGTCCCCTACGTCTAAGTTCTTCTCTCCACTCGTGCTCCCGTTCCCTTCCAATATCTATCTTCTTTTCTATTATACTGAATCGACTTAGGAGACCTTTGAAACACGGATAGCCTTTCCACGTACACCCCACCTCGCTGCTTACCTTGGGTTGATCCACATAGTCTCGCTTACCTGGCCTGTGTACGACCACAGCAAAAAACTCGCATTGTGCTCCTCCCTTTGGGCAGATTCCAGGCAACTAAACCAACTGTGGTAGAGACCAGTGGCGTGCTAAACTAGAGCTGCCATGGCCAGTGCTCGGAAGTTTTGGTCGTACCAGTGCGAGTGGGATGGATGTAGTAAGGTAAGCAACAAAGCTATCCAATTCCTTGAATAACTATATGCTGATTTAGTCTTTGTTCAATGGCAGAGCTTCAAGAGTATATCAACTTTCGAGGCCCACTACCGCAGGCATACGGATCAGCGTCCTTATGCTTGCGACTACGGGTCTTGCGGCGAGGCTTTTCATGACCGTGGGGCCTTGAATCAGCATCACCTAACTCATGCAAACGAGCGACCTTTCGCCTGCAAGTACGACTCGTGCGGCGAGGCTTTCCAGGATCGTGAAAAACTGACTGAGCATCACCGCGCGCACAAGCAGCGCCCCTTGGCTTGCGAACATGATTCTTGCAGCAGGACATTCGCTCGAAGGGAATCTTTGGAGGCCCATATGCAGATGCATACAAGAGAGCGACCTTTTGCTTGCACTCACGAAGGTTGCAACAAAAGTTTCTGTGATCGTGGGGGATTGATCCACCATGAGAATAGTCATATGAGCAGAATTCTCCAGCCGTGCGGATACGAGTCTCGCCATCAGACGTTCAGCAAGCCTTTGCAACTCCCTCGCCACTGTCGTGAAGAACATGAAGAGACCGTCACACCAGTGGAGGAGGTCCGTCCCATTCGGCTTCGGTTGAGTCAGCCCAAGAGACAAAACCCTGAATCGTTGGAGGATAGCCCACGAAAAGGCCTGCTTATACTCCTTCCTACGAAACAGACCCTGAGTGGCACGTCGACTTCAGATCCAACGGAAGCTCAAGAACATTGCTCTGAGTCGAAAAGTTTTGCCAAACGGCCTACCATTCGTATCAAGGGAGGAAATGGACATGACAATGCTTGCCCGTCGAACTCTAGCTTCAGTACTAGATCCACTTCAGACGCCAGCGGCAAATGTCAGGTCTCCAGCCATGGCTCCAAAATTACCCCAACGGCTGCACCGCGTATCCCCACGCCCAATGTCCGCCCACTAGCTCCTATATCGCAGCTCACAGTCAGTTTAAGATCTGCCGAACACAAGGACTATAGATCTTGTACCGATGGACAGTCTAGTAGGACTGACACCACTGTCTATACAAAGGCCTGCGGCGTCTATTCCAAGGAGAAAGCCTCACCAAAGAAGGTCAGAACGAACGGCGGTCGGCATCATTGTCCAAGATGCGATACACAGTTTACACGAGCACGCGGTGTCAAGGGACACTTTGTTGGGTGCATCACCAAATATGGCAATCCCGACAGATTGAAGTGGACTGATCACCCGAGTCTTGAGGGAACCGTCAAATTTTATGCTCGCAGCGGACACCAACGTCAGGAAAATGTCTTTGTACCGCAGGCAGCGGACTTACATCGAAACGAGAAAAAGTCGTCTTCCCTCGTACTTAAACCGCTGTCTACTATTGTCGAAGAAAATAGTGGGAGTGTCGAGCCAGTGTACACGCCACCTAGACAGGACGTCTTACAACAGAAAGATATCGTACAGCCTATACACAAGCGTCGAGACGCCCTCAGGCGCTCGAAATACAATGCGGAGACAATCGCTAGAGATGTCCTGCTTGCAATGGGAAGTCATCCTGTTATGGATCCGCTGAATGCTCATCTGGACATACTACGGAAAAGATCCAGAGTTGTTAATCTTGAGTCGAACATGAGCACTTTCAGATGGGATCTTGTAGATCCTGAGCAAGAAGCTCAGCAAGGACCTGAACGACAGGCTGAAGAAGAAGAAGAAGAAGAAGAAGAAGAAGAAGCCGAACCAGAACAGTCTGCTCCTAAGGCTTCCGAAGCCGAGGGAGATACAGAAGAATCTGAATTCAACAATGCCCAGTGGTACTACGATGCATCGTCCTCTCTTTCGTCACAATCTTCAACGGAAACGGGCGTCTTTCACCATGAAGTCCCCTTCAGGGTGGTTTTGCCAGAAAAGACGCACTTTGGCCCCATGTCGACTATATTCGCAAGCGTCTTTGATCGCGACCCGTCTGCTAGGCTTATGTCTAGTAACGGGGACCTTTGGGCTGCCATATTCACCATGCTCGAACGAGGTTACCATGAACGGGACTTTGTGCTCCATGCTGCCGTGAGGGAATCCACTGGCGATGTTGTTGGATGGGTCGCATGTCAGGAGGTAGATGCGCATCAAGCAAGGCCCGTAGATCCATCAGCGTACCTGGACTGGACGACAGCTGCACACGTCCTGCCTTCGCAAATATCAAGATTCACAACAACGAAGGAAAGCGCAAAGGAGAAAGCTGAGCATTCGAAGCAGAGAAAGGTCGGCCAAGGTCTCGCGTCGACGATCCAGGCTCGAGCCACCGAGGCCCAGATGTACCTTGTCCCCATTGGTCGTCTGGTCATCAATGCCCTCGTCGTTCATCCTCTACACCAAGGACGTGGAGTCGCCTCTGCGCTACTCAATTCTATCACAGAGATCGCGGACATGAGAAAGAGACCAATCTGGGTTCAGGCACCGGAAGACCCTGCAGTTGCGCAGGGAGCGCTCAAGGAAGGGCTTTTTCGGCGAGCAGGCTTCACATGTGCTGGTGAGCTGAACTTGGATCTGGATTCCTATGCCTCGGGGTCTCGGCAGTGCGATAAGGGGAAAGGAGTCTCGCTTGGTACTTACAAATGGAACTACATGCTGCGCTTGCCTCAGCCGGTAAAAGTGAAATCAGCCTAGCAAGAAATAAGTCTCAACCCCAGTGTGCCGCCTGGATAGCGCACATTTTGTCCGGTTGGCGGTCCCATGATTATGCTGTGTTTTCTCTTCGAGAATGAGCTTACAACATCACTTTTTTTCGGGGAGCTATGTGGCCTGTTGACCGCCCCCAGTATTCGCAAAACTGACAAGCCAATGGTACCAATAGGACCGGGAGCAGGGCAGAACTAAAATAGCTCTGCTCGATGATCCTACGCCCAAAGCAAGAGCGGACAACCCCTCAAGAAACAATGTACCTGGGGGTGGAGCAGTTTTGGACCCGGGTTGGTTCGGCTTTCACCCGTCAAATGGCGAGCCAGCACCAGGTGGCAAGCATTTTTCAGCGCTTCTCAGCGCTGTACTCCAATAGGACATCAGTACAGTACGGAAACCCTCTCAGAATTGGCAAATTATGCGGCTCGACGTTTCCAGACGATAGTCAATTTCGGTAAGCCATGTCTTAGGCTAGGTTCCTACACGGACAACAGCCGTGAGGGGTCGAAGTGTCGGAAGGGTAGGCTTTGACATCGAATCATGTTCAAAATTGGCAAGTCGTATGATACATCCTCATAACACTTGGTGCCTGAATTACCCTTCAACCTATGAGCTCTTCGGGTCCGCGGTCCTGCAGTGAGAGCTCAGGACCAGGTTTGCACGGTCTTGACGAGTTACCCTAACCATCCACAGCACTCACCCTTCCTGGCACGTGAACCTCAACGTCCAATTGCGATGACTACCATTTCCTCTCATCAAGAGGCCGGTTCGACCCTATCGTGATGATCTCATACGCTGCCAGCTATGCTGGACTGCATGGACCTTGTTGTTGCCTCCTGGCTTCCGGTCTTCTAGACATTCACATACTTCCCCACAATTCTACTCCATCCTTCCACGACTCGGCGTTAACACTGGGAAACGCCTCGAAAAGCCTTTTCGCTGTCATCAGCTCACAAAAGACCCTCCACTTACCAAACCAGCTGCCACCAAAAAGGCTTTCCTCATACTCAACCAGGGACCGCCAAAAACGCTTTCCTACCCTAGACAGCTGCCGCCATGCAAAGTATTCTGGACATCGACATTCTGCCAGCCCAGCACTCCAGTGTTTCCACGATGGCCCACGTCTTCATCAATTCATTTGACCTAGATGGTTCCGTCAAACTCATGTATACAAAAGATGAAATTGTGCCAATTATACAAGAGATCCTCCACGACTACATGGACGATGACGCCATCCAGTTCAGACTAGCTGTGGCTCGGGATACAAGACGCCTCGCTGGCTGGATGTCTTTTGGCGTCATACCTGCACTGGGGCGAGTGCCGGAATTTGCATTCAACGAGATGACAAGCTGGGCAGCGCAGAAATTGATACATGGCTACGCGAGCGACTATCGCTACCCTCTCGCCGCGCAGCTAGAAGACAGATCTCGCCATGGCCAGAGTCTCCACATGCTCAGACATAGGCTGGTGATAAACACCATCGTCACCGACCCAGAGTACAGGCGTCTCGGCGTTGCTGGGAAGCTCTTGAGGTGCGCCGTGGACCGTGCTAGAAGCAATGACTGGGCCATATGGGTCCAGACCCCAACTGTATACGAGGGTTTGTTCTGTACGTGATACTTTCCGAGGAAATTCTTCCCCATCCACTCGGTTTTATGGATTGTCAGACATATTTCAAGATTTCTCTGCTCCTAAGACATGTCTCGCCACTCAGAGTTTCTCCCGAAAGAGTACTGCTGACTTTGATATCATCAAGGGCGTAACGGATTTCATGACGTCGGTACTTTCGGTTTGGATCTCAATGCCTTCAAGCCTCCGGAGGAAGTGGCTATGGGTGTTCATGGGAGACAACTCGGCATACAGACATGGAGGCAGATGAAGCTAGGTAGCAGAGCCGAGTCGCTGCTGGAAAGGGCGATAGCTGAGACGGCCGAGGCCGAAGGTACTCGTGGACATGTGCCCAATCCGAGGAGCACGTCCCCTCCGTCGTCGACTTCTGCAAACACTTCGACCCAATAGTGTCTTCCTCCTTGGATAGAATGAAGGTGAAACTGCGCTGGCAGTAGTCGTGCACAGACGGACATTCCAACGGCTCACAGAACGCCCTGAGGGATTGGGTCTGAACGGCTGTGGCTTGTATCCAGCGTCCCCTAGTCATCCATATGTCCATGGTAGAATCGAGCTCGAGCTCGGCGCTCATCAAAATGGCTTCTCAGGACGGAGCCGCACGTCACTGTCGTCTAACAGCAATCGTTACGACGGAAGAAGTTGTGGACAGATGGAAATGGCTGGTTCTTTTAGAAAAGAAAATCAAAAACGCAAGGGAGATTGATCGGTAGCTGATGTCTACACTCCCGCATCCTCTAGAATAGCGATTTGACAATGGCCCAGCGATAAGCCCTTTTAGCAGCAAGACTCCATCAAGTTCATCTTCACATAAGAACATCATTCAGCGTCTATTCTTCTCAATCCAGGCATCATGCGATAATGCTCTACAACTTACCTACCGGACTGCTCACATGGATATAGCCTTCCAAGCCGACCTCTGCGAGGCCCAGCACCGCTTTCTTGTGAGTCCGGGAAACCGATTCGATCGTCTCCCACTCGTCTGTGTCCGTGAGGCGGTAGTCAGACCTTTTTTCCGGCGAGCTCATACGCCAACCTGCGTCCGAATGCCGTCCCAATTAGCCAAACCCCATCATTTCGCTGCCTGGTGATACTCTTTTCAGGGCGTACTCTATGCCCACCTACCTACAAAGCATGAAATTACACCCGTCACCAAGGCAGTCGACATTCCCGCTCACCTAACAAAATCTCACGCTACGACTTTCCATTCTTACAATGTATCTTCCACACAAGCACACACTCTCATACATATAGGCAAGAGGCTAGGGAAGGGGAGTGTTGGGGGAGCAGGGAGTGGGGTACTCAGTCGTGGACGCAGATGGCGTTGAGGGCTCCGATGCGGAATGCGTAGAGGTCACGGGGGCGAGGGGTGAAGTAGCCGTGTAGTGAGCGTATCGGATGAGTTCAGCGGAGATTGTATGATGTCAATGCTTGTTTCAGTGTGTTCGGGCGGACCATGGGGATCGATCGAAATGCAATTGGTCTACACTCGCCCCGTAACGCCTTTCGCTCCGCATCTTGCAACCGTTCGTCTCTGGCCATGGAATGCCGCGGGCTACGTCGGCTCTCGATGTGACTATGCGCTGCCAGCCATCCCGAGGTGTCGTCACATGGCTGCCCGATCTTGTGCTCGGAATAGGTATAATAGCTTCGCCGTCTGAGCATTCATCTTCCTATTTCAACGATTCAGAGTCCATCCTAGCAAAGCAAGACCGTCTCTACAATTTTCAATACGTCCGCAAAGTCTTTCCACTCACACCACCAGGCCTCCACCCAGCATGCAAAATCTTCCGCTTCGGCCAGGACCCGCCACCACGTCTCCGCCCCCAGACATCGAAATCTGGAAAGCCGTCCCCTCAGACGTGACCCCCATGGCCGACCTCTTCCTGGACAAGTACGGCGGAGACAAAGCCACCCGGCTCATGTACACCAAAAGCGAAGTCTGGCCCACCATCCTCGACACCATCGAGAGCTACATCGACTTCGAGAGGGAAGTCCAGTTGATGATCGCCATGGACATCGACACGCGCATCCCCGTCGGGTTGATCTCCGTGGGCGTCGTCCCCGACGGCGTCCACGTGGACGACTACACGGGCAGCGAACTCTCCGTGCACGCGAACTGGGCGATGCGGGCCGAGCGAGCCAGCGCCAGGGGCGAGGATCCACGGCGTTTGACCGACGCGAGGCTACGGCTGTCGGACGTGGTCGACAATCGCTCCCGTGCGGGCCAGGATCGATATATCGGTCGCTCACATCTGGTTCTCAACACCTTTGCCGCTGATCTCAAAGGCCCTACCGGGCGAATCTACCAAAGCCTGTTGACATGGGTCATCAACTTCGCTCAGATACGTAACTGGCCGATCTGGGCGCAGTTTCCCGCGAGGCACGTCGGCCCTTTGGTACGTGCGGGGTTCGTGAGAGTCGGGGGCTTCAGCTTGGACTTGGACGAGTTTGCGCCCCGTCGTGCTGGTTTGGGGGTGGAGGAGTATGTGCAGTTGGTGTATCGGAATCCTAGAGGGAGGAGTAATGTTCGGATGGAAGATCTGCGGGGCCATCGAAGTGGGAGAGGACGGAGGGAGAGCTTCTGAGCTGGCCGATAGCTGACAGAGAGACCATCTTTACGGGTGGCGAGTAGCTGGCGAGTAAGACTTGCTTTTGAGTTAGCCAATGACTGACGGATAACACTGTCGGGTGTGCAAATGTAACCGATGTTTGATTGGTCCATACCGAGAAATGAAGAATAACACTGCCTGACAGACCCCTCTTCGCCCACGTACGGCCTTCTTTCCGTATCTTGCTTTCATTCGGCTCTGGACGTGAGGTGGAGGTCACGCGTTGTTACGATCAGGCCATTTACTGGACGCCAGCTCCGTGGGGTGTAGCTATGCCATCATGCGTGACTGCTCATATACTAGTCTGACCCTGTTTCCATTATAAACTGTAGTCCTAGAAGAGGTATCCTATCCTATCTCCTTCATCATCTTCACCACTCGAAGCCCTAATTTGAGTTCAGCAAACAAGACTCCACGCCATTTTCGACGTACCCCAGAAGAAGTACACAGCTACCCACCAACTCTTTACCATGCCCAGAGGAACAGAGTCCGGAGGAGACTCACCGGCCGAACTCGACTTTACGGAGCTGGACGAGTTGTTCATCATGACCCGTGACGCCAAAAGGGACGACGTCGGCGCCATGGCCAACATCTTCATCAAATCGTTCAAAGACGACAAGACCGCTCAGCTCCTGTACCCTCGCGACGAAATCTGGCCCGTGGTCGTTGAGATGCTGAGGCACTACCTGGACGACGACTACACCCACGTCATAGTAGCCGAGGACAGATACACCGACACGACGGTCGGATGGACGTCGGTCAGCCTCGTGGCCTCGGATCAAGAGGACCACTTCAAGTTCTGCGATTCGACCGTCTGGGCCGGTCGCCGGTTGCTACACTTGGGAAGAAGCGAAGGCCCACTGCACGTGGACGAGGTGAGGCGGGCTGGTCTGATCACGCAACTTAGCAGAAGGTTCACTTCTACTCACTGGCCGAAAATAGCAGCTTCCACTAATTTTCTGCCGAAGGAACCGCGATGGTCAAAAAAGAGAGATTGATGGACAACACCTGGTCATCAACACCTTCGCCATCCATCCGGATGTATTTGAAGAAGAGATTCCAGAGATCGCCTACAAACTGATGGATGATACCAGGGATCTCGCGAAGGGAGAGGGTCTGCCCCTTTGGGCGCAATTCCCCCAGAATTCCCTGGGCAACCTGGAAGAACTCTTCCAAGAAATTGGCTTCGCCGAAGTGGGTTCCTTCGAGTTGAACCTCACTGGGTACACCAACGAAGAACATCGGAGGAGGAGGAATTGGGGGTGGCAGAAGTGGACGCAGTGGGTATTGGAAATCGGAAACTGGGAATGTGGACGACGGTACTAGGCTTCTCAAACAGTCGATCATTTCTCAATTTGTCGGGTGAGCGAATGAATCTGATAGATTACTGGCCTGGTCTACACTTTAGAATCAGAAATGCACTGCCTATCTGTTTCAGCTCGGGCTACATGGGACCTTCTCTGCATACCTTCTTTTCACTCGTCCTTCTTCCCCCAATCAGTCTTTTGAGCGTGAGGCGATCACCGCGTACTTCTCCTGACGACCCCGCTCGACATCAGAGAAGTGAGGCTGCCTCCACGCCGTGATTGATGACTGGAAACCAATCACAGTATTCCCTGGCCGCATTTATTTGTGTTAAATGCTTACGTCCTCTGGCATAACACTTTATCCACATCCTTTTATCATTCGCCCCGGATGTGACTTGCAAGACTTATCCTACTACCCACCTCCCATACCTTAACTAATTTCGAAGTGACATCGTCGAGCTTTGAGCATACCAGTACGAATCTCCGTCATGCCTCCCCGACCTCTTCGTACGTATATTTTGAGTCCATCTTTCCTCCTTTGGACCAAGGTTTGATTCTTGAGACATGTCTTGGGATTTTCTACTCTGTAGAAATGTTCCAGGGCTCAATGCAACCCCTCGAATAGGCAATACTGATTCCGAAACTACAATCCAGGACGCTTGGAGATTGAAATCGACCGAGCCGAAACGTCAGAGATCGTCGGCATGTACGCTATCTTTGGGGAAGCCTTCCCGTTCGAGAACCCCAAGCTCGCGCGAGTCATGTACGCCGGATCCGACCCCGGACCGGCGGTCGAAGACATACTGAAGACCTATTTGCACTCCGAGTACAATAGATTCATGATCGCCTACGACGTGACGCAAGGTCTGGTCCCGGACCCGGGCTGTGAGATGGAGGGTGTTGACGAAGACGAAGGCATGAGTAAGGCAATTTTCGGAGTTATCTCTTCCTATTCGAAAGTGCTTCTTGAGTCGCGAGATACATTGGAGGAACAAGTTAGCCATTTTGCCACTCTTTCTACTCTCCAAACACGTCTTCTTACTTAAACCTTGATCATTGAGTGGGAATGCTAACTCCGAAATGTGCCAGGCTACGGATGGATATCAGTAGGGCTCGTACGTGACGGCACCTCGATGGATTCTTATGCAGCCGGTGATCTTTCCGTCTGTGCATCGTTGAAGTTGTTAGCTACAGAAGCACGAGATAGGAGTGAGGATCCACGACAGCTGATCGTCGATAAACCTAGTTTTCGCCTAGCTCTTGAGCTTAGAACCCGGTCAAAAGATGGCCAAGCCAGGTATATCACCAATCCACATCTAGTCGTCAACACTCTTGCTATGTGGCCATTTTCACATAGTGATTCGACGTGGGAGATGGCTTTTAAACTGCTGGGATGGGCTGTGGAGTATGCAGATAGACACAATTGGCCAATCTGGACACAAATCCCTGTGGGCCAGAGGCCCTTCTTCCATCAGGCCGGCTTCAGAGAAGTAAGAGCGTTCACCTTGAACCTAAACGACTATAAGCCTCGTGAATCCAGGGATGATTGGGGGACGCAGGAGTGGGTGCAGATGGTGTATCGTGCTCCGGAAGAAAGGCGCGCAAGGTCGATCTCGCCAAGAGGTCGAGGTGAGAGGCGACGTAGACTGAGCTTCTGAGGTGGTCGATGATTGATGGACTGGTTTGATGCAGGGAAGTATGAGTGTATGCGGCGGATGGACTGAAATGCGATTGGGAGCTATTGGAACATGCGGTCGACTTAGATTAGAAACGTGGGTATTATGCCTCCTCGATGGCCCTTGTGGCAACAAACTCTGCTTCAACGTGACTTCCCTTCTATGCCCAGAAGTCGCTGTCTCCGAGTTTCCCAAGCTGAAACCGTAAAGAAGCAGTCCCTCCCCACGAAGGCTGTGCTGAATCTGAAGCTACACTTCACGCATTAAAAGCTGGACAAAAACATGAGCAAAGCGTTGTTTCAAGCACCCTGTCCAAATAGAGAGTAGAAACCTCGAAACTCAAGAATGGTACAGCCTAGCGTCTTGGCGGCTTGGCGAAGTGAGGCTTTTCTTAGAAGCTCGAGAAATTTGCGGACCGATAAGACTACAAATCGTACAACCCTGCAACAAGCAGAATTTTTAGGCCCAGAAGCTGCAAATAGCGTAGGAATCCTGATATCCATAAGACTCTTTCGAGCCGATAGAAGTATCGTGCGATAACGTTGAGTACAGTGCGGAGGATTTCACTTCCCTGTGCAGGTGGGAGCCTTAGTGAAGGAGGACTGGGAGTGTGAAAGACATCGAGACCGTAAGCTTGAATGTATCACATAGCTCGAGCAGAATCTTGCTCTTAGGTGGCCGTAGAAGGAAGGCTTGAGCGAAGCAATGGTCTTTCTCAAGATACGAGAGTCAGTGGATGGGAATTTCAGAAGGGTGGTATCCCGGCAAAGGCAGAGTATGAGGGCGGCATACTGAGCAATTGAGCAGTGCTGAGTGGCAGGGATATTCGCCATGTGAGAAGGATCTGTGAGTGAGACACGACTTCATGCAAAGAATGGATTTATCAATAGAAAGTATATTATCGCGATGTAAGCTTTAAATGACACGCTACCACAACCACCCGAAGCAAGCAGGAAGGAGGAAGGGCTTGCTCCCATCCCACCCACAAACAAGTCATAGTTTCTTTTCTCGTTGCCGTTCATAGATTCATGACTTCGATCAGTGGCATTGTTCTTCTCCAACCGTAAGAGCACCTCTCCACCCACCCCATCGAAGCATCCCGCGCTTGTAAATATTGATTGTCTCCACGCAATAGTACCCAAGAGGGCCGTCGGAGCCATCACACCATATCCTCAGTGCGCTGATGAATGTCCCGATTAACGTGGATACCGTTCCCTCTGCCATCCGAAGTCTTCTCCAACTGATTCCTGTCCTGCAATTCCATAGAGGTGATATGATTGTCGACGGTACCAAAACCCTCCACCGCCTCAACCGAGTGCGCAAATCTCTCGTTCGATTCGCTTGCAGGTCCGGGGCGACTGGTCGTATTGTGGGAACATTTGGGAGAGCCTTTAGGGGAACTTTTTGGGGAACTTTTGGGAGAGCGCAAGGAGCGAAGACTGATCTGGCTGCGGATGGAACGGATGACGGACTCTGGCGATACGCCGTTGAAGAAAGGGCGCAGGGTGGGGAGGCAGGCGCCGATGACGCCAAGAGTAGGCTCGATGGAGGTCCAGAGCACGATCCAATAATAGTGGACTAAGCGTAAGAATGAGTGAGGAAGCTGAGGTGGAGGACAGAGAGAAGACTTGAAGATGGATCGTTGAGCGGGAAGAGGATGAATTAGTTGCTCACATGAAAAGTTGAAGTCTGCGAGGTCTCGAAGCTTAAAGTAGGACACCGTTCGACCAATACCAGCTACGACTACACTAGATAAAAAATTTAGCTTTCCATTCTCTCATTGACGGTGACATTGTTTGCTTACACGGCACCAGTCATGAAGATGCATAGCACTGCGACTTTTTTCTCCAGGGGAAGCTGAACCTTCCTCATAGGGAAAAAGGGAAGCGCAAGGATTACTATATCGCTGACGAGATTTGTGAATGCGGCAGTCTGATACATGACGTTGATGTTGTTCGGGCAGCCTGGTAGCTGCAAGGGATTGGTTCCCCAATTGTCTGAGATCGGATTGCACTGGAAAAGAGTGGCGAAAAAGATGCTGATCCACCAGAGGAGCACATAGGTGGCGATCACCCAGATTGCAATTCTGAGGTTGCGAGAGGAGTTGACCGGAGTGACGAAGATACGCCAGTAAAAAGTCAGGACCGAAGCTTTGATGACCGGCATGGCACATGTATGCATGATTTGCATCACAAACATGACCTTGCCATCAGGCAGCAACTCTTTGGGAGTGGGGAACAATGGAACACCATCGCCAGCGTAAATGTTGGTCCATATCTCCTGCTCGCCAATGCCACCGACTGCGACTCCGACGATGTTGTTGATAGTAACACCAAGCGTGAGAGCCTGACGTTCTGTAAGCGAATTCGAGAGAGGAAAATATGCAGCCACTCAAATCAGTCAGGGTAGAATGATCTTACCAGACCACCAAGGATCAGCCAGTCTTCCTTATGGATTCTTGCGCTTTTGTAAGTTTTGGTGTAGAAGCGGAGGGCGACGGCTAGGATGGCTAAAGCTGATAGGACGGCACTAACAGCGACGATGACCTTTGCTTGGCCGTTTACAGTTTGACCGTCTCCCATGGCTTTAGGTGATGGTGTGGTTAATGCAAGGAGTACAAGCAAAGGATGACCAAATATAGGGTCTTGGAATGAAATGAGAGAAAGAATTATGGAGGTCGGTGGGTACTGTCCATTTCAAAATTTGATGGGGGAGAGAGGAGACTTGCTGAAGGGAGCCTTCAGTGCCATCACATTTCTCTGTAACTTACCGGGTGTGCAAAGATTGAGGGTCACGGTCCTCACTCAGGCGCACGGGGTAGCTGTAGAAGTCCGTAGTATGGGGACAGCTTCACCCAAGTCCATGTTCGTGCGGACCTGGGTCAAGTGACCGCACCAGGCGGCGTCCAGATACCCCATCATTGGATTTCCAGCTATAATGATTGCGGGTGCCCGCGTCTCGCTCATAGCCTACGGCCATAGGCAAGCGTCAAGGAAGCAGGAAGGCATCATCGACGCTTATGCTGATGCAGGATCTTCCTCAACTGGAAAGGTCAGGCTGCGTGGTAATGCCTTATCGCTGAGCTTTCGTCCAGTCAAAAGCTGCGTCCTGCACAGCCTCAAATCGAAAGTCCTACGATAATCCGGTTAGTGGGATTTCTTCAGGGACAGTCCTGAACGCTTGGCACACTTTTCGAGATGATGATGCCAATACTTCTCCTAGTCATCTACACCGAATTAGAATGCATATAAATTTGTCGGAAGTGGGCGAAGAGCTGGATGCTGGGTATTGTGTTACACCGCAATGAGCAAATTCATCATCGATGGTCGGTCGTCAAAAAACTAGCGCCATGCACATCATACAGGCACGTACCCGAGCGCTTGCACGAATGTGGCTCGGCTCGAACGAAGAGATGCCTTGTCGGTAGCCTTTTATGCTGATCATAGGCTAGTATCGTGTATGCGAGTATGCAATGCAGTATCGGGAGGCTGGAAGACGAATCATCAGTTTGGAAGCTTGGAAGAGGGGTAGAGCCCAATGCTCTGGATGAGATTCTGGAGAGTTCGGGAGAACGCTGTCAATGGTACTTTCGCTCCAGTGTGCTTCCGTGCGTGACCGAGATCCAGCTGTGTACCAGTACTCTACCTCTTTGGCAGTATGCACTTGGCCCGCCACTTTGTTCTTTCGCCGCCCTTTAGCCATGCACACGTCCGGATCAAGCTCCCTTCTCGCCACCAGACTCTAGGCCGTAGGAATGGAATACCACGGCTAAATCAGGCCCTGATGAATTTAATTTTTGGCCAAAGCTCTCAGTCGTGCCAGTCCTGCAGAACAGCGGCAGCTTTTACCGAAGACAGTACAGTACAATCTTGGGGAGTTGGGTACCTATACCAACACTCTTTGCAGATCATTCTTCAGACAGAAATGTGGCACAACGGTTTGTATTGTGATTGATTCAGGCCTTAGGCATTCGCGTTCATGTTTTTAGATACATCGGTGGAACCGCGTTTCTGCAGCCCAACAACAGCCATCCGATAACATTCCGCAGTAGATAGCGCCAGAAGTGCTGTAGGCCTCCCGCAAGAGCCTACTTGATTTTCCAACTTTGCGGCACCAGCGGCTCGGGGTTGGCCTCAGGGCCTTTCTCTGAAGGAAGTCAGCGGTATCATCTTTGAAAACAGACCCATCATACCACTCCGCTGCACGACTGGAAGAGTATAGGCACTCGATCCTAAAGCTAGCACGGGCAGGTGTAGATGGCTTACGGAGGCGATGAGCTGTGTAAAACGGCGAGTACTTTGACGGACTCGGTGCTGATTTTGTCTGGGATCTTGGAGGCGCGCGCTCTGAATCTTGTGTATCTATAAAATTCAAGAGAGCCACGGCTTCGTATACGGTATGTATTTGGCCCCGGAATGTGTCTTCCATGACTTGTCCTCTCAACTGGGCCACCACCAGCCAAGGCTTAAAGCGACGATAACGCCGACGGCCCGAGATTATTACGGAACGCATATGTAGGCGGCCTTGCCTGAACGCTGCTTGCCGCCTTACTTCATACGCGACGCCCCACTTCAAAATCCGCTGTCAAACGGGCGGGCTCTCGGATGCGGAGTAGCTGACACATTTCAATCGAGGAGAACATACATGACTTGGCAATGATAGACACTCTTCCCCTAAACTTGGACGCATGTCCGACGCTTCAATGAAGATCGAACCCGCCATATGGACAAGGGAGATGCCGGAAGAATAGCGCCCGAGTGGACGCATCTCAGGTATCGTAAGGCCTATGCTACCATTGACGGTTCTCGGAGTACGCAGTCGGAAAGCTCAAGGAATCGTCCAGACTCTGATCAGCTCCAAGCATCCGGAGTTTCAGTCGTACTAAGGGACATAGAAGCATGGCAGCATATCATCTTCTCCAGAACAAGGAGCACGACGAAGAAGTCGCGACTCCCTCGAGCATTGGTCCCAGAAATGTCAACCCGAAGCTGTGGAAATGGATCTCGAGTTTGGCCTGCTTTCTTTGTGGTTGCGTCTTCACGATTATGAGCCTCGTCGCTGGCCAATACGTCTTTTCAAACGAGACAGCACTTGCGGAAGACCTCTCGATTCTGAGTACGTCTCCGGAGAAGGCATCTGCCAAAGAGATCGTAGCTAACCGAGATTCGCGTTACAGTTCCCCCTGGCCTCTTCTCCACAGAATTTACGCTCGACGAGAAGTTCAGGATGAAACCGTCGCCGGAGAGTGATGAAGCATGGCGCAGTATTCTCCCAAGTATGTCTAATTCAGCCCACGATGGAAAAAGCCGCACTGACGATTGCTTAGACGGTCTTGGTGTTGTGCAGCATCCGGTTATTGGTCCAGAAATAGTCAATCTAGCTTTCGTCCACCAGCTTCATTGTCTTGTGAGTCATTCCCATCTCCAGGACAAACCTTTGCTGATTCGACCCACAAGGCCACCATACGCAAGAACTACTTCGCCGGTCAACAGCGCACCGCGACAACCGAGACGGACAAGCACATGGTGCACTGTCTGGACTACATCCGCCAGGCACTCCAGTGCCACGTCGACACGAATCTGGAATTTCGAGTGGCGTTGGGGACACGGGATGCGGCGTTTACAGGATACGGCGAGCACAAGTGTCGAGACTTTGATAGGGTGTTTCGTTTCGCGGAGAAATGGAGGGTTTATGATGGCAAGAATGCCAGCGAGTGGATCAAGATCTCGGACGAAGAGACAATCCCCGGTCGAGTTATCAACTACGACTATGTCTCATCTCGAGGAGATCCAGAACCTAAATAGTCGGACCGGCATCATAGTCTGGGGAGACCTGTTAAGCATTCGATCCTATTGTGTATGGTAAACCCCGTTTACGTTTGATGCTGTATGTGTTGGTTCAGTGCTAGGTATTCAGGCCAACTGTCCCGCAGTTCCGCCCAATCGTCCACGGACACAAAGCCTCGATCGTGACAGCACTAAGAGCAAGTAATAAAAATCCCTATTCATCATCCTTTAATGATGACGCTGTTATTGATGATACCTTGAGACGATCATCCATCCACGTAGAATCTGCCAGAAGCCTTCATTAACAATTGCCACCACAACAGACAAGACGATACATACTCTCGGAGATTTTTCTGATGCATGTAGCCGACTATTCGCAAATTGTGACCTTGTCTAAGAGACAATCAGTGTGGCGGTCCGGGACAGGGAAGCTGGTTCTGTTTCATCTACAAGGCCTTCCATCTCCGCCAGAACACCAAAGCTAGACCCGCCTACCAGACGGCCATCAAAGCTGCATTTTGGTATATCGTGGTGAAGGGCCTTCAACGAGCCTAGAGTACCCCGAATAAGGTCTGCGCCGTCATTCTAGTGAAGGGACGGCATCTTCCACCAGAGCCACGAAGCTAGTCAAGCACCTTTAGGCAGGGTTGCCAATGCTACGGACCTGCTAGATCATCTCCAATATGTTTGACTTCTTCTCCGCCGAGTGGCGGCGGGCATAATCGAAGCAGGGTCCTGAACGGCCGTTAAAACCTCCCTGTCAATCAGGAAGTCTCCGAATTAGGAAGTCGGACTTGAACATCGTAGCACCGACCCGTTTGGTGAACATAGAATTACCAAAAATCACGAGCCCGGCGACTCGGGAGGCGGTGACGGAGGTACCTGGCAAGTCCTGGCCTATTACCTTCGCCGTATCAGGCACTCTTCCTTCGCACATTGGCGGTCCAGAGGGGAGAAGCAGGGTCCTGTACGGCCGCGGACGATTATGTCTCCATAAGTATTCCGGGCTGGACATCAGATCATCGGTGTGCACCTACCCGCCTAGTGGTCTCGACTCATCATTTTTGAAACATTGACAGTCATTTCCTTGCCTCATCCTAGCAAGACGAGCGAGGAGCCTCGAGAAGATCTGAACTTTACGCACATTGATCGGAAAAACTCTCTCGGGGCCAAAATCCAAGTCACCCTTGATCGAGAAGAGGAGTCGAAGACCAAAGGCTCTATTATATAAAGCAAAGATCCTTCTCCTTCTCTCTCTCTTGCCTCACTTTTCAGAAGCAATCGCTTTTATCAAAGCCAAACACCAGAAGTAGAAACGACACCACCAAGTTCACATCGATTTCACGTCCAACCCCAATACGATAAAATAAAATAGTAAGTCAGCTGTTTGTCCTGCCATTGCAGTCAGTGTGCTGATAGCGCCCTTTTGAAAGCGACAATCGACACGATGCTTTTCACGATTGTCCTCCTGCCAACCCTGGCCCTCAGTGTCCTTGGCACTCCTATCGGCAGACGCGGTGGTACGTTATCTTCATAGTGAAAGCTATCACGATGCTAACACACCATGCAGCTATGGTCGAAGAGGTACGCGCTGAGCAGACTGCGGTGGTTCATATGGAGGAAAGGGCAGATGAGCAACCCGGCTTGCATAAGATCTGGTCGGCCGAGAAAAGGGCAGATGATGAACCCGGCGCGCCTAGCATCTGGTCAGTGGAGAAAAGGGCGGATGATGAACCCGGCGCGCCTGGGATCTGGTCGGTCGAGAAAAGGGCACCTGTGGCTGCCAAATCCAAGCAGCTCAAGCGTGCGAACTACCCTACGCCTCAGCCCTGAGGCCAGCCGCGTAGGCGTGAACAGCTAAGAGTTCCCGGACGTAGGTCTTTTGCCACTAAAGTTCTGGCGTTGACTAACGATGATAGATAGCATGATCCAAAGATAACCTACCGATGTCTTGTTGAGGAACACATGTAGCTCGGAGTGGTGGTGGGCAAAGAGGAGCGGAACATTCATGCCATTTCTTTCCGCCATGGATGCATTGTATGATAGAATAATAAATGTTGGTGAATTTGGGCTCGGTCCCGAGATGATGAGACTATGCTCGTTTTGCAGAATCAAACACTTTTCGAAAGACGGCAGTGCAGAATCCGTTCCAATGAGCGTAGAAAGGAGCACGTCGTTCTCAAAGGAGGAGTCAACAAAGTCTCAAGTACCTTCCACAAAGAGTTGGGGAACCCCACCTCAGGACTGCTTACGCTATGTAGGTAGGGATTCCATGTTCATAGTAGCGCTTCGTCTCAAAGGCGGTTTCGCCATAGATTTTGCAATTATCGTACTCTTAATAGTCAACCCCCAATCTTTGTCTCTAGCATATACGGGGCATCGGATTAGCTTCCAAAGGCTGCCATTCCCTCCGCCTACTGTCTCACCATGAATCCACCTGGCTCTGCCGCAACATTCCTTCTCCCAGCCTCGGAAGATGATATACCATCACTCATACGCGTCCACATGGCCGCCTTTTCGCATGACAACTCGGCACGGCTCATGTTCAAGAACAACGACGAGTACGAAAACATGCTGCTGGACATGCTCAAGGCACAGTTTTCCAACCCCCAATTCGCAGTGATCAAGGCCATCAGCAAAGATACAGGCAACATCCTGGGATGGCAAGCATGCCGCTTCCTTGGCAAGGATGATGACTTGGAGAGCAAGGGAGTGATTACGAGGGTCGAAGGGGTGAAAGGCGAGACGAAAGATAAGAAGGATGATGGCCGCACTCTCCGCTCAGTGCTCAAGGAAGACTACGTCAGAGTCCAGAAGGATTGGATGGCCAACAGAAAGTACATACATTTCGACACGCTCGTCGTTGACCCCGCTGCGCAAGGTCGAGGCGTTGGCACTGCGTTGGTACGCTGGGTCACGGACAAGGCTGATGAGCATGGCTTGTATTGCTGGCTGCAGTCTTCGCAAGCCGCTCATAGCATCTACCTGAAGGCAGCATTCAAGGACGTCGGCAGCTTCGAGGTCGACCTAAGAGAGTTTGCTCCTGGTGGCAAGGAAGGGGGATGGGGATGGGGGATGTATAAATTTAGGTACATGTTGCGATTGCCAGAAAGCTAAAGCTAGGTACGTATGCAAGGTAGAGTAATCAATATAATCTACTTTAGTGGCATATTTACAAACCAATTCGGAAATTGGCACCGACTCCGAGTATTAGTAAACACCCCCTAAGGATAATTCCACCAGCCCGCCGCTATTTGAGACTTGGCGCTTCGACCCGGGCCATAATCGAGAAAATAAGAAGCACCGCAACACCATTGTACCAGCGCCATTAGGGATCGAACCTAATACGAACTAAATACCCCCAACAACAAATCGGAAGGTGCTTCCTGCGGGGTCTTTCTTGCTAGCCATATGTAGTATAGCTTGCTAGGCTAGATCCTCAAGATCCTTCAGATCCTTCCTCCATAGAATCTACATCCTTCTTCTACCCACACGAGCTGATCCTTGCTACCTTGTTCTTTGCCATCTCCCTAGCTCTCGACTCGCCCGAGGGTACCTTTTACCTGACCAAACAATCAAACATACAAAGGTGATTTATAATTCAAAGGACTAGCAAAAATGTTGCTTTGAAATCAACCAGGGCGGTGAAGGGATGAATATCTGCCTGCCTCCAAACGTCAGGATGATATTATACTCCAATATCCCTCTCTCACACTTTACAATTCAAACCCACTGAAGTTCCCAAAATGCCTCTCTCCCTCTACGACATCACTGTCCCGGTCTTCATCCGCGGCCTCACCAACCTTTCCGCCATCCTCTCTAAGGGCTCAACCTACGCCGATGCACAGTATGAATTCTCCAGCCCCATTTCTCCTTTTTGGGCGTCCTCGGGAGTCCTGAGACATATCTCCCAACTTCCGTACTCCAGAAACATCCTTCGAGAGCCCGAAATGCTCATCTGAAATAACAAAGCGCTGACTCCACCACTCCACCAGAAACCTCCCCCCAGCCCACCTTCTCGAAGCCCGCCTGATCGAAGACATGGCCGCTCTACCATATCAAATCCAGAGAGTCAGCGATCACGCCAAAGATTCCGCCGCCCGCCTCGCCGGAGTCAAAGCCGTCGCAATGCCAGACGACGAAACCACCTTTGAAGAGCTACAGACACGCATTCAGAAGACGATTGACTTCCTGAAGACGGTGCCGGAGGACAGCATGGACGGGAAGGAGGGGGAGGAGATAGTCCTGAAGGTGAAAGTGGCGACGTTGGAGTTCACTACCGCGAAGAGTTACGTCTTGGATTTCGTGCTGCCGAATTTCTACTTCCACCTCACGACGGCCTATGACATCCTTAGACACAACGGGGTGCCTCTCGGGAAATTGGACTACATTGGGGGTGTTAAGATGAAGGCGGAGAAGCCCTGAGAGCCGCCCGCTGTGCAGCCTCCGAGAAGGGCGTGTGGCCAGTACCGTACTCTAGAGAAGCCGTGACGGCACAAACAAAGTTGTATTGACCCTCTGAAACGTGACTTTTGTTTTCTTTCATTCTTTTGGATTGATGAGCTCGAATCCCGATGCGCCACAGCCATCAAGCTGCCTCGGAAAGGTCTACCTTTGAATACGCTAGGGAATCTAATTGCCTTGCCCTGCTCCTTTGCAGTTTTGAAGCTCTTTCAGAAGAGATTTAGAGGCCCATTTGGACGCCTACCAGCAGTATTTTCCATCTATAGGTACTTCCATGTATTGTTTTAAAGCCGTGAGCAAGGCAAAAGCATCTTGAGCGCTAAGCTTCTACACAGCGGTGACCGCAATGCATCCACCTCCCTGATTTCCCTCTTTTCCTTTTTTTTTTTTCGATACTCATGATTGTGCGTACGGAAAAGCCGCCAATGGCAAAGACTGCCAACATGCTTGAAAGATTTCGTGGCCTGGAAATGCACGATGGTCGAATCTCTCAATTCCTTCGCTAAAGTATTTACGAGTGAATAGCCATTGTCCAGCTGTTCCAGATCCCTCAACTTTTATGCCGTCCCTAAATCCACACCCGGAATAAAAAACAATAGAATACGCCGCGCCTTACGCATGCTATGCAAGATCGTGAAATTGGAGACTCATGAATCGTGTCAATCACGCCTAGAAAGATCCGCCAGTCTCGTCAGTCTCGGTCCCTTCCTCTGCCTCACTCTTTAGCCCCTCCTCATCATCACTGTCAGTCTCTGATGCCTGCTCGTCGTCCAAACCGGGAATGCCGCTCCATTCTCTGTAGTCGCCCTCTATCCACCTCTTGCTCTTCGGCAAATGGTAAGGATCAAAAGGGAAGTACGCGTCCAGGTGCTGGTAGCTTTCGTCTCTCCTAGCTGAGAGCGCTGTCTCCCGGTTTGGTTGGCCATATCCAGTGCCGGCAGACTGCAGAACTCGAACTCTTTTATTGGTCTCGAGTAGATGATAGACGTAGACAATGCTGAGATGATTCGCTATCCGGGCGAATTCGGTGACGATTGCCGTCGAGCACACTTTGAGTGGGTTGAGTTTTGAAAAGACGTTCTGAGAGAGAGCTTCTTTGACCCCAGATTTCCATTGATGCTGTTGACCGTAGGGAGTGTTCAGATCGTCGTCTTCAAAATCATCGTCTGGAGCAGACTCGAGATCTCGCCACCGAAAGCAGAAAATATAAAGTAGAGCTTGTACAAGGACGTAGAATGATGAGTATCGTCTCATGTCCGGACCGCGGCAACTGGGCTCATGGTTTCGACGGAGTCTCGCAAGCTCGCCGCCAATATAGCCGAAGACATCTCGCACGATATTGGACGGCACATGCATCCCTCTGGCAACAAAGCTTGCGAGATAGGCTGCTGATGCTTGGCGTACAATAGCTGGTTGGCCTTTGTCGAAGGTTATTTGTACACAAGTCCCAACGAAAGTGTCGATATACTCGGAAGATTGCTGCGCGAAATGGAAGAGAAGGAATTGTGTGTGGCGAGATCTGTGCGTAGGTAGGATGGTGGTAACGAACTGAGATAGAAGGATGTTGAGGGATCCCACTTGCTCCTCGACGGAAGGATGACCAAAGCTTTGTTCGTAATGCGAGAACAGAATGTCCAAGATCGCATCCATCTTCTCTACATTCTTCGTGATTTCTTTCGCTCTCTGCGCTTCTTCGTCCTCCTCATCCTCGTCAAAGTCGTCCTCCTCATCGCTCATGTCTGAATCCTCCATGTCATCCATGAGATCCGGTCGGGCTGGTGGAATCTGATCCACCAAGCCTTCTCCCACATCCTCCGCCAAATCTTCAAGGTCAACCTGCACCTGAACATCTATTTTGACGAGGCGTTCCGTGATAAGCGCCAGCACCTCCCCTCGTAATTCCGGAGAATACCCAACGAGTTTGAGCAGGTTTTGTACGTAAACGACATGAGAGCGCCTTGAGTCCGTTGGATGAGGAAATGCGGTGGTCATTGTGGAGGAGAGTATGCGACCAGCGGAAGGTATTAGCTGTAGCAAGTACTGCAAGGTCCTGTGTACTCGAGCATAGATCATCAAGCGTGTAACCACCGGTAGATCTCTTATTCGGCCGTTAGATGGAGGTGCTGTTGGACCGTTAGAAAAGGCCCCCAGCGTTTGGAGAGGATGGGTCTGACCAGCTGTCAGATTGTTCACCAACATCTGCACCACGTCTCCTAAGAACACTCCCTGTGCTGATGAAACATTTGCTAGTAGCCGCACAAACAGAGCCACATAGTCTTCTGTTCGTCCCAGCCAGTCGCTACTCAAGACAGCATGAACCAAGTCAGAATTCGATTTGTTGAGCACTGAAACGTTTGCGAGTAATGAGATAGTGTAATTCTTGATTGTGACAGGACTGAACTCCTCTTCATTGCCATTCTTCTGGGAGTAGACATCCTTCAATTTGTCATAGCCTGAGTCGTCGCCCAATGCTCGCTTTGCAAAGGCGCGGCGCACTTCTTCTTGGATGAGATGCGGCGCCTTCTCCCAATCGCCGACCACCCTCACCTCGACATCCGAATCAAAAGTGACTTTGGCTTTCTTTCTGGGGCTAGAGGGAGGTGCTTCATCGTCATCTTCTCGCTTGCGGACCAATGTAGGGCGGCGGAGGAGTGGTTTTGGTGTTGTAGCAGTGATAGGGCCCGTGAGGCGCTGGATAGTGGACATAGCTGAAGTCAACACTGAAATACATATCAACAATCGAGAAGAGTAAACTAATGACGTTGAACGGGGCGTTGTTCACTATGACTCTTCTGTGCGGAGGAAGAAAAAGTTACGGTTAATAAGCGAAGGCACGCGACTGTAGGGCTGGGATTGCTAGTGCGATTGTGTGAACTTTGGTCTTTGGGAAATTTATATCTGCACAACAACGTCAATATCTTCTGGATGGTTACCTGAACAATTCTTTCTTAACCACATTATCGACAGTCAAGATGAGGGGCAAGCGTAGTAAACAATACCGGAAGCTTATGGCCCAATTTGAGATGACATTTGGTTTCCGGGGCCCATACCAAGTTCTCAGTCCGTTTGCAAGCCTTTTCCCTTGATGTTCTGCAGCTGACGCTGCTTCTCACAGTCGATGCCCAAATCATTCAAGATACCGAGAAATTTAAGATGGACCTCGTAGGTGGATTGGAGCGTACACTCAGCGCCAAGGTGAAGCCAAGTATATTTCCAGTCTCTACAGTCATGGAGATTAAGCTAATCATTGCGTTTTGTATTAGTGATTACACAATGCTCTATGCGGCACCTATATCTTTTGAAGCACGTCCCTCAACCAACAAAAGATGCTCTGATCCTCACCGCTCAGTCAATGGAAAGACGACGCTGCAACCACCATGTCCTTGACGAACCGCTCTCAACTCTCGAATGCTACAATTCTGTTATTGACCCCAAGAACTCGCACACAAACAAGAACCGTTATATTGTTGCAAGCCAGGATGATGACGTAAGAAGGCATTGCAGGGGGATCAAGGGGGTGCCGCTGGTCTTTGTGAAGAGGAGTGTAATGGTGATGGAGCCTATGGCTGCGGGCAGTGTCAAAGCCAGAGAAGGTATGGAAAGGGAAAAGTTTAGGAGCGGGCTGAAGACAAGAGGCATAGGGCTCATTGGAAAGAGGAAGAGGGATGAAGATGACGGTGATGCAGTTACGGGAGAGGGCCAGGAGGCGAAGAGCATGACTGAAAGTGAGGAGAGAGCGGGAAAGAAAAAGAAAGTGAAAGGGCCTAAAGGCCCGAATCCGTTGAGCGTGAAGAGACCGAAGAAGGCGACGGTTAGCGACCATAAAGAGGAAACGAGGAGAGAAGGCAGATCGGATGAAGCTCTAAGCTATCCAGACGCTGAAGAGAGAAAGTCAGAGATCAGAGTCTCCGCTGTAGGCAATCTTGACGGACCCTTTGACGAGACACAAGATCGTGAAGCAAAGCGAAAAAGAAAGAGGAAACACAAGTCGAAACAGCTTGAAGGGCTAACCGCTGCGATAAATAATGGCAATGAAGGCACCGAATAAGGCAGAATGCTATCGAATTGATACCCCGTTCAATGGTTTCTTCAGTGAGTAGACTATGGCTGTGACTGTTCGCGCCAATGACTGAGTAGAGAATATATCCACTTGACCGCGTCTCTGCTCGATTCAAGGCTCCTGGTCTTATTCGAAAGCATTGACGGCGTGTTCCTTGGTCCCCGAGTAATGCATAACGCCGCGCTATGCTTCCCAAGTACACCCTCTCTAATCCGTCGTGTAGCCTTATGAAGCCCAGCATGCCATCCTCTCCCTTAAATACCTCCAAGACCTCTACAACCTCAACGTCAATGTCACGATTCTTCATCGATCTCTTTCCAAACTCTCTGTATCCTCTCTTTCTTTTCCTTCGCCTTCTCTCGGTTCTTAGCCGTCCTTTCAAGCCGTTCTGCTCGTAGACACTTGTTGACCTCCCGCTTGGCACCATTGCAGTTGCCCAGGACTTTGTGTAGAAAGCCTTGGGCGTGGCATTCGTCGAGGGCAGCCATTACTTCTTCGCAGCCTAGGTGGAGAGGTCAGTACGGATTCTCTGGTGGAGACAACTTTGTATGAGTGCGCAGACCCCTGTTGTCTTTGGTGTGTAGATGAGGATGCATTGCAGTATCAATAGTGACAGGGTACCGCGAATTGCAGGGTCAGAATGATTGGGCGCTGAGTAGTGGTGTAGACTCGGAGTCGGAGAGCCTCTTGCGGCATGTTTGGTGCGGAAAAAATCCGTTGCCGTCCAAAAGCTTGTGATGCTCCGCCATCAAACTTTCTCCTCCCCACCAAACGTCGCGTCTGCTGTGTCGGGCTCGATAAACGATGATGGCACAATCACAGATCACTGTCAGAAAGCAGCAAGGTATGTTATCGTACTGCTTTGTTCTCTCGCTGCTGACCGCCTTGGCTAGAGCTACAGCAGCAATACACCAACTACAAGAACAGCCTTCAACAGTTAGCTCAGAAGATCGGCGACATTGAACAAGATACTGAAGAACATAAGTACGTAATCTACGTGGCTCTCGATCTCTAACATCTAGGATCAAGCACTCGGCTTGCTGGCGAAGACCTTCTCGGAAGCCACACCGCTCATTCGTTGTTCAAACAGACTTGTACTAGAGACACTGGCTCCCCTTCCTCCGGACCGCAAGTGCTTTCGAATGATAAATGGAGTCTTAGTTGAAAAAACCGTCAAGGATGTTACTCCCGCGCTTCAGACAAATTCGGAAGGATTGAAGAAAGTTCTGGAGGAGCTGGTCAAGCAGTATAAGCGGCAGCAGGATGACATGGAGAAGTGGAAGGTGAGTTTCTTTATTTGAGAATGTTACAGCCACAGTTACGATGGGCACACGGTTCTCGTCTCGATTTAGTTTAGGGCCTTGATTCGTGGACCTACCATTCGGGAATTTGCTGATGAGTCTACATGGGACGCAGAAGAAAAATAACATCCAAGTCGTGCAACAATAGCCTCTACACAAATTTCCAATCCAAGCGGCTTCATGTCCGCCTTCGTCACTAAACAAGAATTCCTTACTAAGGGACCGAGGGCCCGTGACAAGGCACTTTCATTTCATTGAAGATGTGCAATATGGCGAAATCGCAGCATCGTGGATGACGAGCGAACTGTTCGATTAGTGTTATCGGTGCCGTGTCATCAAGGTGTCCTTGGCAGGAGCATACTGTTTGCTAGCCAGAATCGGGATGCGTTGATGCCTGAGTTCTCGTCCACGAGGTCATACGGTTATTCTCTAGGGCGAGCGTCAAGCCACAAGAATTACCGTTACAACGGTTATTCGATACCATCGGAACATTATGGCTTGCAGGTGCGTTGGCATGAAATCAGGGTATGAATGACTGGATCGGTGGTCATGCAGGACTAGTTCAGTGTGGGAGGAGCGGTCATAGGATGCTAATTCAAGGTACGAAACTGATTTGACTGGACGGATCAACGTCACCCCGAATTTTGCTTAGGGAGATATGGCTGTTATACATATGAGTTTCGACATGTCTAGGAGACAGGGAGCGAGTTTGCTGCTTTCTCCAAAATAAAATTACGCGTCATCGGACACGGGCACGGACATGTGCTCCCAAATCTTGAGGCAGCCAACACAGCATTCCCGGCAATCCTACCCTGCGTCGTATATGCAGCCCAGCCTCATCATCCGAACCAAGGTTTTTTGAACGTTGAACGAGATCGGAACGGAGTCACCGCTGCATGGTGCAAAATACGCTCCATGCTTCCAAGTGTCAAAAGCATTGAATGATCATGGGAGGATGTATGTACAATGAAAGGTCAGTCATTTGCGCATCAGCGGATACCCTTGGGCCTTGGAGATGCGATGGGCTGCTGTTTGAGGCTGTGTCTGTAAAGTGCAAACGCGTTGATGTGATAGCCGCCACTCGACATGAGCTCTCCAATCTTAGATCCTGCAGAGTTTCCTCAGATCCTTGACGTAGCCAACACATATATGTAGCCAGCATACATCGAAGACCGTTTCATGTAGTGCCGTTGGGACCTTAAGTATTGATACCCAGCCGGAGACTTGAAACCCCTCTTTTACATGAGGTGTGGGTGCCACATGCCCCGCGCGTGGAGCACATGCTGCCCAGTTCCACTGACTTTAGGTACCAGATTCCCGAGGACTTTGTTGGGCTTTGGGCGCAGCCCCCTAGGGTATCCATGCCAGTAGTCATTGGGAGACGACACTTTTAAGTAATGCCATGCTGATTTGGTTGACTGCCGCGTCGACCGCGTTTGTGGTGGAAGTGTGGAGGTGTGCTCAACGGGTAGGGATCCTTGCTGGTTTCTAGAAGCTAGCCCCGAGGTTTCAGTCCGAGACCGTGCTCGAGCCGTGCCATGTCGTTGAACGGTGAACACGGTACCTACCTCTCCCACCTCTCAATTGGTGTGAATCAAGCAGCAGAGCAGACCATCATACACTCCTTGAGGCGACCATACACGCGTTTGACGCGACCAGTTAGAATCGCAGCTTCACTCTCTACATTAAGCTCCGAAAAGCTCAGCGAAGCCATCTCTGACTCAGACCAAGCTTCACTTTGCACTCGGAGTCGACATTCGACACTTCTCTCGACACACCCACCGCCCAGTTGCGCCTGAAGCAAGACGTGGCCTTCCAGTACTAGCGCTACTAAAGTTAGGAAGCAATCGTATGCGCCTCCAACGTCAAGCTCCTTCTCGTGGAAATCTAAAGTGCTGAGTTAGATTCTCTGACCGCCATTGGAGCCCAATTGCCCGGCGGCACCCTCCTTCACAAAACCACGCCAGTGGACGAGCGACTGCGGGCACCCGGTCATAATAATCCCATTGTGAAGACGAATTTGGGTCTAGTGGTTGTTAACCCACGCTCTTGCGCGGGAGTGTATTCACTTCGATCGCGCTTCATATTGTCGAATCGGTATGCATGCCTTGGGTAATTGGCGCTTCGATACCAGTCCATAACACAGCCTCATCTAGATCGGCGCACGCGGAGAAAATCACTAGCCCTGCTCTGAAGCCAAAGTCTCGCAAAGTACCTAACTGTTGTTGAACAGCACAGCACAAAGCTGCGGTGCGTCATTTCGAGAGCCCAACTTGCCAATTCACAGCTCACCCCATTCTCAAGCTGACCCCCGATTATTCTGTTGGTTGCCTTAGGCTGCAGCGGTTCATATATTATTATGTCGGAATCCCCGCCCAAAGAGGGTGTCGAGCAAGGAGATGCGACTCCAGAACACTCGGAAAGCATGGAGAGAGGAGAAGAAGCTCAAGTGAGGGAAGCGTACGACTTTGAAGTAAAGGAACAAGATAGGTGGTTGCCGATAGCGAATGGTTGGTCACGCTCAATTCCTCATGCATTCTCGTCCACTGAATTTGCGCGTTTTCGTCTTGCGACGCTGCATGATGATGGAATATCGTATTGCCGTCGCTTCTCCAATTCCTACGCGCGCAAAATCGTTGGCTTCCTTCTCCACAGTCTAAAGATCTGCGCCAGCATCTTGTTTCTTTAATCTCTATGGTCAACAAATATTTGCCCATTTGCTTAGTGGGCACACACAATGTCCCGAAATTCCCCGCACTCTATATCACCTCCTCCCCGTGGTTCAAGACCTCACAGCCATGTCTCGGATGCTAACATTCGCAACTTTGCTCCAGTGGCCCGGATCATGAAGACGGCGTTGCCAGAAAACGCGAAAATCGCGAAGGAAGCGAAGGAGTGCATGCAAGAATGTGTCTCCGAATTCATTTCATTTATTACCTCCGAAGGTTTGCACATTCAAATCCTCTACGATGACCAATTGCCTGACTTAATCTGACCTTCAGCCTCGGAGAAGTGCCAACAAGAGAAGAGGAAGACGGTTAATGGAGAAGACATCCTATTCGCTATGACATCTACCGGCTTCGAAAACTACGCTGAGGCACTAAAGATTTACCTGGCAAAGTACCGAGAAGTAAGCTCATCCGCCCTTTGCCTCCCCAGCCTTTCCTTGACATGTCTTTCTTCCTTTCCTTTCTCATTTGCATTTGGGTAAGACATATCAATCATATTGACCGCTGTCTACAGTCCCAATCACAACGAGGAGAGGCACAGCAGGCGCGGCCGAGCAGTGGCTACGGCGCTCAAACGTCGCAGCCGAGTGCAGCCAGTGCGAGCACAGCTGGGCAGTCGGATCCATCAAGCTCAACCGCCTATCAAGGACAAGAAGAGGGTGTCAACAACATCCTCAGTCCCCATGGACCAGATCCCTCTCAGCAATTGAGCGGCTACGGCAACGTGTACCCGCCGAGCTCGAGCAATAACGGCGTCGGTAACGACCCTTATTAGTGACCTCCTCCTACCAGCGTCTTTTGCATTCGAGTCGAGAAGGATGGTCCTCTTCTACTGTCTACCCGCTCTGCCAATACCGAGGAGCATGGAACGGCACTGTCCCCTCGCACTCGAGACTCCATGGGGAACTTGAATTTCATTGTGATTATTTGCAGCTAGGACTTGTGGGGCGCCTCTAGGACCACGTGTACCTGGATGGACGCGTTCACACATTTGTATATTCCATCGAGCATGCTCTGGAAAGGGAGCGATCTGATAGTTGCAGCAGGGAAAAGCACTGAGGAGCATTTCGCCGTGAAGGATCTTAGCGATGGAGTGAAAGGATTTTTTTTTTGCATAATTAGATCAAGGGAAAGGGCAATTGATCTGGAAGGAAGGAATTTGGGATTTCTACTTGCGAGATACCAAGACCTGGATGTCTATGTACCATACTGATTTTTTTTTATATTAGATGGATTTCATCAATCGTCCTTTCCATTTGGGCTTATCGAGTGCCTCAAGCCCAAGCTCAAACCCCATCACCCTCAACTCTCCATCCTCCATCCCCAAGTTGGGGTGCTCCAGCAGCGAATCCGCTCAAATTGGACACGCCTATCTTATCCCAAGCCATTGACCAATCAGCGCTTCGAAATTTGACAGCCTGGTAGAAATGTCTCACATGCCGTTTGTACCTGCATGAAAGACGAACATGAGCCCCACTCCTTGTCCAACTTCGGTTTGCCTCCTTCCTCCTTCCACGCGCTCCAATATCCTTTGGTACCTTGACAGACGCGAAAAGAAGAGATCAAATGTACAACAGCACGAATCGAATTGCGCTGCCTACGGCTAGCCTCGGCATTCCGAAAGTCCGCCGCCCATGACGCACTTTTGCAGCACAAATGCTCCGCATCCAAAACGGCTGCTACACCATCACGCAAAAAAACTCTATCTCCGCCACAGCTTTAGCTTCTCCGTTTTATGGCTATGGCTGGGTAGGTATCTCTCTGTAGCAAACATTCCACAAATTTACATCCAATAACCATCTCGCCAATCCGCACCTTTTCCCGCCTTTTTCCCATTCTTAACAGTCTACGAACTCTTTTCCAGCATCTCCGGCCAAAAGGTTACCATGGTGCCTCCATCGGCCCTGGACGTACGAAGCACGACAGATACACAGATCGCTACCTTTTCTGATAAGCTCAGCGTCAATGGCGTTGCAGCGCGACGCTCCAAGGCGCCAAGAATTGCTGGAGGCATAGCGGCGCATGCCAGTAGTGACATGTTCAAGAGTCCCGTGAGGCTTTGCAGCTTGGCTCTGGGGGGACGACGTTCTGATCGGGTAATAGGGACATGGTAAACCAAAGGCGAAACGATGGGATCGTACGTTCGTATCCATCCACCTGTGTCAGGACCAGTGGGCATAGAGCTGATGGGGTAACAGATCGATTGAGTGAAGAAAGCTTGGCAAGACAGGTCAGAACAAGATCGACATGAGGAAGGGGTCAGACTATTCGTTGGCGATTACTGACATTGCGACAGACGTCTTCCTTGAAAGGAGCTGCCAAATATTTGACAATCCCTGGTGAGTGGCCTACCACATAGATTACCGATACCACAGGACCTGTTCTCAAACATTGAAGGCCTAATATCTCTGGGCGGCGGTCTACCTTCGAGCCAGTATTTTCCTCTAGAGCACATCGACATCAAAGTACCCGTACCACCACACTTCTCAGAGCAGGAGACGAAAGAGTTTGGGGTAGTCAAGAGGATAGGAAAGCAGGATATTGCGGAAGGAAAGAGCATATACGGTACGCTAGACAGATGACGAGTTAGAGCTACAACAATGACTGAGATACGGGGTGCAGACATCCATGTGGCCCTTAACTACGGTCAGTCGACAGGGTCGGCACAGATTTTGCGATTCATCACAGAGCATACAGAGGTGCGGGACTCTGAATGAAGCGCCCAAATCGATGCTGATGAAGCATTGCCAGATTGTACACCATCCGCCATACAAAGACTGGCAATGTTCTATGACCGTTGGCAACACTTCTGCTCTCGATATAGCGTACCGCATGTTCTGCACGCGTGGCGATTGCATCCTGACCGAAGAGTTCACCTTCTCCTCAGCCGCTGAAACAGCTCGACCGATGGGCGTGCAATGCATAGGCGTGAAGATGGATGAACAAGGTCTTCTTCCCTCACACCTAGATTCGATCATTAGCAATTGGGATTCAGCCGCTCACAATGGTGCTCCCAAACCTTGGTTGCTCTACACTGTACCTTCCGGCCAGAACCCCACAGGTGCCACACAGTCCAAGCAGCGAAGAAGAGATATCTACCGCATGGCCCAAAAGCATGATATCTACATACTCGAAGACGAGCCATACTTCTTTCTACAAATGCAACCTTACACCGGCCCAAATGCTCCTGACGTCCCACCTCCATCCTCTCACAGCGCCTTCATAGACGCCCTGGTTCCCTCCCTGCTCAGCATGGACATTGACGGTCGAGTCATGCGCCTGGACTCCTTCTCCAAAGTCATCGCTCCCGGTATGCGATTAGGCTGGATCACAGCCTCGGAACAAATAATTGAGCGTTTCGTGCGGCACTCCGAAACGTGCACCCAGACTCCCAGCGGGCCTTCTCAATTGATAATGTTCAAGTTGCTAGAAGAGACGTGGGGACATGCAGGCTACCTTGACTGGCTGATCAACATCAGACTGGAATATACGAAAAGAAGAGACAACATCTGCTACGCTTGTGAAGAATACCTACCGAGGGAAGTAGCGAGTTGGAATCCGCCGATGGCGGGCATGTTTCACTGGATCAAGATTGATTGGCGAAAGCATCCTTCGAAAGAGGGAAAATCGATGCTTGAGATTGAGGACGAAATCTTTCATGCTGCCATTGAAAGAGGAACTCTGATATCAAAAGGCAGCTGGTTCCGGGCTGAGACTGGCAATCCGGGAGACGACATGTTCTTCCGGACTACCTTTGCTGCTGCCCCAGCGGACCAAGTGGCTGAAGCAATTGAGAGGTTTGGTACTGCGTTGAGAGCTGTCTTCCATTTGGAGGCCGCGAACGGTCATGGGCAGTAACTGGAGTGTGGAACGGATCTGATTGCATCAATAGTCGGTACCGTTTGGGAAGAAGCGGTATCATGTTATCTGTGTTTGAATGAGATGCCTACGCCATGATAACGACAACTTTATAGACTCGGACTCCTAGGATAGACAGGCTTTTGCCAACCCTAATTTGATATCGTACACGATGATCCGGCTCCGGCTCTCTAGATATCTGAGACCATGACGTTTTTCTCCTCACACACACTCTCTTACACTGCCCACTCGCCTAGCGCTAGTTGATGAAGTTCACGCAGAAGAAATGCAGTATCAGGCTCCCGAGCACAAAGTCTGCAAACGCCCTGTAGGATTCAACACCTCGTCAGCCCAAACATTTCCCCTCACCCCTCCGTCTCCCCCAGAAAAGCCCTCTTCCTTCGACGGCCCAGCAGCAGAAAAAGAAAAAGAAGGGAACAAAAGGGCCACCTAGAAAACTCACCGCTCATGACTGACACTCTCAAACTCCCGCCGGTTCTCCGGATTCGTCTGGATCCGCAAGCTGGCCGTGAGCACGAACTGCCCGACCGTGGCGCCGAAGCCGGACAGGAAGGCGTTGAACGGCTGTACGCACCCCACGCGGGTCAGCATCTCCGTCGATAAATCTTTTTTTACCCCCCCCCTTTCCCCCCCGAACCTCCCTAAAATGGTACCCTCGACGCCCAGAAGCGGGACATTGTATACACACACACGCAAACGAAACCGAGGGGGGGGGCAAAAAAAAAGGAAAGCCCAAAAACCCACATAGTTCCCCACGAGCACGCAGTACGCGAACTGCAGCCCGCCCACCGCGACCAGGAAGGCCATGAAGGCGTCCGTCAGCTTCACCCGCTGCGGGGTCGCGGACCGGTAGCGCCACCACAGGGCCGAGGACACCTCCCGCGCCGTCTGGGCCGCGGGCGACGACGGCGGGGCGGCGGAGGTCTTGGGGGAGGGTTTCGGGATCGGGGGCACGGCGGAGGCGTGGGGGGAGATTTGGGGGGCGCGTTTGGCGGGCATGGTGGATTGGTGCAGCGGGTGAGTGAATGGGTGGATGGATGGGTGGATGGATGGATGGAGAGGAGGGGAGATGGTCGCTGGTGGGTGGTTGGGTCAAGGTAGGGAGGAGCTGCAGAGGAAAGGAAGGGAAACGTTGCCCGGGTTTTGGGATGCCAAGACCGCGGCGGAAGCTTCCTTCCGCGGCAGGGATGTGATGGGAAAGCTCGAGCTTTCTCCGCCATCGTTTTGGAAACCCTCTTTCTGGCAACACCTCTGCGACTTACTCACCGCTACGATCGAGTCGTCGGATCAAAGCAAAGAAATTCAATCCCTACATTCACAAATGGTACGCGCGCCCCATCCCCATCCCCTCCCGTCCCCCCAACCCCAGCTAACCTCGCCTCAACACTCACCGCAGGACGACCCCGCAACGCAAGCCTTCCTGCTCGCCCTCCTCACCGCCGGCGGCGGGCTGACGGGCTACATCCGCACGGGCTCCATACCATCGGTCGCGGCCGGCATGACCGTCGGCGCTCTCGTACGTCCCCCTTCCCCGACGCTCGTCGTCTTCTCTCCGTGAACGGATGGCTCTTTTGACGGACGGCCCCGGTTAGTACGGACTCGGTGGCCTGCGCATGCGCAACCGCCAGCCTTACGGGGTGGAGATGGCGTTGCTCGCCAGTCTGGTGTTGGCGGGGAGTAGCGTACCGAGAGCGATGAAGACGCAGAAGGCGCTGCCGATTGGGTTGAGTGTTGTTGCTGCGTTTGGGTTGTATCGATTTGGGACCGTGTGGAGAGCTCAGGCGTGAGAGACGATGATGGGAATGGAGTCCCGAGCTGTGGAGGGCTAATGACAGGTTCGATTGCATGACTATGGGGTATCTGTGTGACTTGATATCTGCAAAGAAATGCAAGCAAGATGTGCAAAAACATCCCAAATACGTCCAGCCGTCCTTCTATATCAAGTCCGCGACTCCGCGATCTTCGGGAGTGGGATCCGTGATGATCTCGTCCTCCTCTTCGTTCAATAGATTGCCAATATCGACACTGTCCCTCAATATCTCTCTTGCCTTCTCCTCGTCAACTTTCATGTCGTCCATGACAAGAAGTACTGCCAGTTCCGGGACCAGGACCGCTTGCACGTATCTGGAGACTCCACCAGATGAGATGAGCTTGTCTGAAGCTGCCAGTCGACGAAGTTTGCCGGCAAATCGGGACATGATATTTTCCGCCCTGAGAAGGTCAGAAACTTCCAAGGTGAAGCAGGGTCGTTCAACGCAGTAGCATTGTATGGCGGGAAGTAGGTGACTGAAGGAAACAGGAGCCATACATTACCTTCGCACCTCTGCCGCCATAGTATCCTGGCGAAGTCCCTTCGATCTCCTCTCCTGCCATCAGGCTCTCCTGTATCCTCTTTTTCTTTCCGCTCTTCAAAGAGTCTTCAAAGACATTCCTGTAGAAGGAAAAGTTCCTTCTTGAGAGTATGTCGTCCATGGAAGTATGGAGTTTCCCAATTCGAGCGTCCAGCTGCAGCCAATCGATTTTGGGATATCCCCGCTCTGCCCACTCGGACTCGGCACTTTGCTCCTTGTGGGCTTTGCAGAATTGAGCCTGTTGGCGGAGGCTCATACGCGTACCCACCTTAGTAAATTCTTCCAGATACGACTGGTCAACAGGCTGCTTGCACATTGGACACACGGCTGGTCGTGGTTTTGCATCATAATCTGGTATATCTCCAGATGTGATGATGGGAACACCTTCTAGGCTAGAACCGAGAGTAGAGTCGTCAAGAGAAGAAAGCGGTGAAGATTTTGCAGTAGCCGCATCAAGAGATATTGGAGGAGCCGATGAATCACGTATCTCTGGTCGTGGAAGGTTGATTTGTACATCTGATATGCCAAGTTTGTTTGTAGCAATTTTAAAAGCATTCTGTAATTCAGATGACTTCAATGCATTAGCTTCGGCGAGCACAGCTGGCTCCTCAACTGGCGCCGGAGACCTCGTAGCTCGTGGAGGGTCCCTTTCTTCGCATATCACTGGACTAGCTCTGAATTTTGGTACTCTCTTGGGAGATGGTCGCGGAGGCTGCTTGAAACTCTTCGGAGAACTTTGAGACGACTGTTGTGTGCTCTGGGCCGAGCGTTGTGAAGCCCTCTGATCCCGTAGCGAAGTCTGCATAGATGGAGTCTCACTCCATCCATTTGCCGTCAATCTATCAACTACTCGAGGTCAGCCATGTTCATTTTTAAATGGCCAATGCTTGAACATTATCCTACCATCAGCTAGCAGCATGGGATGAGTTGGGTCCTTAAAAGCAGGTCCTGCCCTCCCGCTCTCTTTGAAAGGCATTTTTTTGGAGTCTCCAGACTTCGTGACCGAACCCCTGTGTCCATAGCCTTGCCTAGACTTTTTCGGCTGGGAAAATGAATATGGCACATCATCTTCGTCCAGGCCAGCAGTCTTCCTCTTCTGGCTGCTTTGCGAGCCATTGCGGCTCCCAGGGCCTTTCCCCGACGTAAAGCTACCCGCTCGTATGTTCGAAGGTTCAACGCTCAACTCCCTCTTTTTGGCGTCCTCGCCCTTGCCTAGACTCGAATCTGTCCCTGTTCTCAGCAATGCGTCTTTCTTGAGTTTCTCTTTTTTCTCGGTTTGTCCAAACTCAGAGTCATCAGACGCCCCATCATCTGGAAGTCGCTGCCCTTCAGAATCTTCGTCGCTAGAGCTGCCTCTTGGAGGAGCAAGGAGTGGAGGACTAGGCTTTCGAGTTTGCCCTGATTGTCGTTTGCGATCTCCATGCAGACTGGCGAGATTATGGCCGTGTCTTGTCAAGCCGATGCTCCTCGGGGGACCTGGCTTGAGGTCTAACGGACCTGCCATTGCTCCTGTCTTGTGATCATAACGGAGCTCGATCAGCTCGCGTACAGCGTGTATGTTTCGATTGAATACAAATGTACTTACAAAGTAGTTTCACTTCACGCTCACGCTCCGAGGTACTTTAAGCTACGCGCCAGCGCGTTCCCGGAAGGGAAAGTGCTGCCGGGATCAACCTCCACTCTTGAGTATTGCTTTCTTGCATACGAGCACAGAATCCAGGCCAATGGCGCGGGCTTGACCCTTGACCAATTGAAAACGCGCGCAAGACCTGTCAGCCATCGTGGCCCACCGGCTTCAATCCTTGTAGCGGTGAAGTAACCAGAATGGCCCATAATATCTGGCTCTCCGCCATTCTATGCCTATGTCCCGACGTCCCAATTCGGCCAATTTGACCAACGTAACTACTGGCCAAGGACCTTTAGCAACTCTGGGCGAATTGGAACCCGCTCCTCTATCCAAGATAGACTAGCTCTACGCTGGCTCGGAAGGTTTTTCCAACATCCGTAACCCTCCTTAACGGCGTTTTCATGATAAACATCAAGAGGCGCGTATATATGGATCCTCGGCTGGCCAATCTAAGTCCTGATTCACATGATGTTTTCTTGATCGCTAAACAGAGTGATCGGAACAGAGAGCTAACTGGGTCGATCAAACATTGATCCTTCTATTGCCAGGGTCACTTTTATCACCTATCTACTCCGGGGCTGCGTAGGGATACTATTGAAAAGAGCTCGAATGGTAACAAGAGCCAGGGTGTTCCATATAAATTGAATCATGAGGATTATAGTGACGTCGATCCAGAAGACTGGAGAAGACTTCAAGAAATTAGGCGTCGAAGTCTTTGATGGCATCTAAAGTTGGGCCGACGGATTATAAGTTGGCTGGTTGAACAGCTCCCTAGCTACGACCTCTTCAATGTTGATTATTAATATCTCCCCAGGGTGATGGTAAGCAAGGCTGTTATGAGACTATACAATTGCACTCTTTTTACAGGCTCAAAGACGTAAGTCGTGGATTGGAGTTTCGGAACGGGTGATTGGTCGCACGTCAACGGTATTGAGGGTGGATTTATCATTGCAACACCATTGCCCGGTAGGCGTGGTCTACGTATGCTAATTAGTTTTCCAAGGTTCCGTTGCTAGTAAAAAGATTATGCTAGTTCGCATAAACCGGCAGCGAGAATTAGAAATGGCTCAATCAAAGATGATCTTTAATCTTCATTGTCAACAATTCCATTGCTACACGCACTGCGTTTGGGCTGAATCGCTCCAGCGCACAGACATCTCCATGATGCTATGATAAAGACATTGTACAAAGAAGTGCCTGAGGCGTTTAGAGCCCAGCCTCAGGGTATCAGGCAAGCCGATTGAACGGAAATAGAAGCTCAGACACATTGGCGGCCGTGAAGGGCCCCTGCGAAGACTGCGTCGGATTCAAGGTAGGTCGCGAAGCAGTCATGGAATGTTGTCTTCTGACGCTGATGTCGACCTTGTCTAGGAAGATATCCTGCAGAAGCGTTGGAAAGATGCATTTCTTGGCAGACGCAAAAAGCAACGGGATGGAACGATAACAAGGGTCTGGCAGATGAGGCCCTGGCATTTGATCGACCGGCGGATGAGATCCAAGATGAATGATACTGAGCTCGCAGGTAGCGAAAATTTTCAGAGGATTCTAGCCGAAGAGGCCGTTGTCTGAATAGTTATCCGAAACATTCAATCCAAAGCGGGAGCAACGGGAACACCAGTAGCCGGATTACATACACCCCATACGTAGCTTTGAGCCACGTATGGGGAGAGCAATGGTCATGTACGACGATCATTGTCCAGACCATCTCTAATCAGACGCGTTCTCATACGGACAATGGTCCTAGGCTCTTGAGATCCCCAGCGAAGGGGAAGCTCGCTAGAGCTGGTGAAGTCACGCGGCGGTTTGACCGGGTGACGCCAGCGACGAGCACGAGATGAATGAGAATGGGAGCGAAAAGAGGGACGAGATTCCTCATGCTGATCCTGAGTGCGTCCCCGGCGAGAGATCCTACGCCGCTAGGCTTGACGGTGGCAGCGGGCTAGGTAACGGCGTGATCGAAGACACTTTGGTCGCAAGCATGATGAGGAAGTGATCTTGGGCCGAAGAGCTGGTGAAAGCATAATCATGCTACATATGTATCTACAAGTATTAAACTTATGTCCAGGTCTCATCACATCGAACAGTCGAACACTGACGACTTCCTCTACAAGGCGCCTCGTCCGAGCAACTTCAACGAAGAAAGAGATACAGGGACTCGAATCGAATGATTTAATACACAGAGATGAATAGAACAACCGTCCAGACTGTTTCCTCTACCGAAACAATACAGGGAGAATCCACTCGCGACGGTCGACAAGAAGATCAACCGACTACTCAGCAGGAAAGGACGCAGGTATTGGGATTGGCATGACAAGAGGCTGCACCGCAGTGCTGAACCAACGACGGCTGATCATATGTCACACCGTTGATGCTGACCGCCTGGCAAATCAACTGCAACGCACGTAATCGTATCAGCGAGATTACTTGCTCCTTCGATATGGTTGAAAAGAGATATGGGAGAAAGAGGAGGACAGGGTAGGTATATACCAAGTCATCGCGGTTTTCGGAGCAGCCCCTTACTCCCGCGGCGCCGGGACATTGGTAACCCTCATGGTAGATGTTCTCGAGGCATGTGCGGGGGACCAGAGGTTCGGGCGCCGGGAAGCGGATGGGTTCTGCGAGGGTTCCGGAGGTGAGGGCGAGGAGGAAGATGGTGGTGATTTTGGCGATGGAGGGCATGGTGGATCGATGGAAGAAGAGTGGGTTTTGGTGTGGTAAAAGACTGGAGTTGTATTGGAATCAGGTGGGGTAAAGACAGGACTTATATTGGAACTAGGTGAGGTAAAGACTGGATTGTGAGTGTAGAAATAGGAGATCAAGGATAGAGACGGAGATGGAAGGGGCCAGCTTCTTATAGTAGTGAGATTTGAGTAGTACCGGACTCGGTGATGTGTATTTACAAACCCTTGCACTGGCTACAGCACCATTCATTCTCGCCATCGACTACAGGGGAACAAGAAGAAACTTCGACAGGGACGAGAATCCAAATCAGGGTAAAGCGACAAGCCTTTCGTTTCACGATACAAGACCGATCTGAACAGCGGTGCCGGTAGTAAGCAATTCATCGCGGGCAGTTGCCTCCAGCAGCCGAATGCAAAATTGGATGCAGGAAGTGACCAATGAGACCGATCCGCGCTAGAGAGACGCCTTACCGGATGTGTACCATATCGTGAGATCCTCGTCAATTAACATGATTAAAAGGTACGTTACCGTAGTGAGAATGTCATTTCATTCCCTGTCGTCGCTCGTGGTATATGAGCCAGGATCACATGTAGGGATGCAGACGTCTCCGAATTCCCAGCTTTCGATGGTCGATAGCGTGTTTGCGTTTCCTCGCCGGGAATGATATTTCTGGGAAAGGAGCTTTTGATACTGAGGTAGTATTGCTCTTCACACCCTGCAGCGGTCTCGAATCCTCCTCGGAGATGTCGGTGGTTAGGTTGATGAAATTAACGAGAGTCGAGAGCGGAGCACGTTGTTACAGAGGGTCGAAAGTAGTTGATTTGGTTTGAAAAAATTAGGTAGATATTTTAAAGCTAAATGTCGTGTATTTTAAAAAGGTTTGTTGAATAGATCTATGATAATATTTAGAGGTAATATTACAAGATAGTGTTAATTTTTGAGTTCCTTTTCCGAGGTGGTGTAACGGCTAGCATTCGACGCTTTCATAAATTATTGACCCGTCGCGACCGGGGTTCGACCCCCCGTCTCGGAACCAATTTTTTTCGCTTTTGGTTGTTGGCATACATACAATATAGATAGATAGGGGTGGTGGGTGGTGCAAAAGACGACCTTCGTTCGCCACAACTGCAGATCATGTTGGCGAACCATTCTGCCTGCCTACCCAGGGAGAAAACAAAGAGTGCTCGAACGCTGATCTGAGCCCGGATCGTTTCGCACCGGAGTTTCGAAAGAGGGTCTGACGAAGTCCTCGATTATCGATCGGCCTGTGCGTGACGAGATCGTGGAGTATTGCGTGCCGGATATATATGGTAGCAATATGTGTGTATTTGCGGAGTTTTTCGACACAAATACAATTAACTAGAAGCGTGAGGATCCTGCTCCCCTTGGATGCTACGAGCGATGCTGCTCGGGAGGATATGGTGATCGAGGCGTCGGTGGAGCGTGTGGAGGAGGTCTCCCAGTTGGTGGGGGTTGATGGGGAGGGAGTGCATGGATATGGGGAAGGGGCCGCGGTCACGATGGGAGACTTTATAATTCATGCATGCATGTGAAGGAGTAATTCTATTTTTCTAAATAAAGCCTTTTCCAATAGGAGGTGGCGATATGCCCGTGAGTTGTACAGGCTTTGTAGGCGGCCTACGAAGGGACATACCTGATAGTTCTGGGTGGAGCCTCGATGCCTCCTTTCTGATCGAGACGGAATGCTATCAGTGTATCTCGTCTCCCCTTTTGGAACGTACCAAAGCCGCCCAGCGTCACGATGATATATGCTTCTTCGAAATCCCGGCGAGCCAATGTACTCACGCCAATGCAACTATGTCAATGCACCTATGCCAATGCGTCCAACACCCGTTATCCCTCCCTTCGTATCATTTACATAGATGAATCCCTCAAGGTACACCGCGCTATGCCAAGCATCAAACTCCTCCCAAATCATCCGAACGTCAACTTCACTTCCTTTTCCCGCCCGAAATCTTCATCGTCCTCATCAGCCCAAGCGTTGTGCTCGATTCCCAGATCTGGGTTATTCGTGCTCGCACTGCGGGGCATGGTCGAAGAAGTTCGCAGTGGCGGGCTTTGAAGCGCTGGTGCCTCGTTGATCGGTTCTCGTTTTGGGGAGATTATCCGACCCCGCGAGTCGGTAGGGAAGTGGGAAGAATGCCGTGGCGAAGGGGAGTGGACCGAGCTTTCGAAAGGTAGTTTGCTATGTCCTGGGCTTCGATGGTCCAGGTTGACTGCTTCAGCGGAAAGGTTGTATTCGTCGTAGCCTTGGTTGAAGGGGTTTTCCCGCTGTTGAGGAATGTTTTCAACGGAGTTCTGCGAAGTAACTGCGTCGCTCTTGGGGCGCATAGCCATGCTCGCGTCATAGCTTTTGGTTTCGCGTAGACTTGAGTGCGGGTTTTGTGGGGGTTTACCCCCATCTGTGGCCGAACCATTGAGGCTTACTTTCATCGGCGGTAAGGTGGACTCGAGCTGCTTGACCTCGATTTGCTCGCTAGCCAATTCGGCTTTGATAGCTTCAATGTCGAATAGAACACTCCCGCCCTCAGCACTACCTGTGCCGAAGTCGTCGCTGCTCTTCCTCATGCTGTCATCGTAAGTCTCCCAGCCCTTCTTCTCCGCCAACTTTCCCTTCTTCCAGAAACCGAATCGTCTCTTTCCTGGCTTGACCTCTGCTTCCTTCCTTGCCTCGTCCAATTCCTTAATAAGTTCACGTTGCCGTTTTTCATGGTTTTCTGGGTCTGGATCTTCGATTTCGGTGAACTCGTCAGACTCGACTTCCCAGCCTACTTCGCGGAGTAATCGGGGCATAGCAGCTCGATATGCCATGTGGCCATTGACAAGCTTTGTCACATCGACGTTTTCGAGGCCGCGGATGCCCTCAACAGGCGCAAGTCCAGCTACTCGCATGATACCACCAGAGGTGGCACGGAAGAGGTAGCCTACAACTGTGATTAGAGAAGACTGAAGAGGATAAAGAAAAGGAGACGCACCAAGAATCCAGTCGTTCGAAGCGTAGCCGTTGACAAATCTTCCGGAGACAACGCATCGGGCCCGCAGATATTCCTCCTTGCTGTTCACGATCGGCGATCCAAAGAGATACACATTTTGGATCAGTCCAAAAGCACCTCTGGCCGCTAGCTCTCGTAAGCAGGCAAAGATGACTCGAGCTCCTAGGGAGAAGCCAACGAGTGTGATGGGTCTGACACCAAGGTTGCGGTCAATCAACGAGTCCGCCAGAATAAGGCCGGCTGCGTTTGCTCGACCCATGGAGACGGTCCATGGATTGTCTATCAGGTATGAAAGCTTCGACAAAACGATGGGAAGTTGGAGTGAAGCCATAAGAGCGACCAGAATGGTGCTACCAAGGACTTGCTGTAGTCCCTGAGTAAGAGCCTGTACGTCATGAGCTTCCATCTGAGACTGGACAGGAAGGAATGATTGTTCACCTCTGTTGCTAGGATATTGATGGTGTCACCCATACTTGTCAGCATCTCCGGTTCCCAAAGCACAGAGTACATATCTCCCATGACCGGGTCAACAGTACTGTAAGGTAACCGGACATCGTCAATCTTTCCGTGCATCCATCCAGAAACGGTAACTATCAAATTCACTCGTTTATTATTGTGTAGAGGCCGATATTCGAAGGTTTGAACGGCACCTGTTCTTCGATTGGAAGCTCGGACAGCAATAGTTCCACCGGAGATAGCGGCCCCAGAAGTGATCAAAGCTGTGCCTCCAGCTCCTGCGAGGAAACCGCTTGTGCCTGCAACGCCTATAGTCGTAAATCCAGCAGCCAGGCCGGCACCTATCACAGGAGCAAGTAAGCCGGCGGAGAGCCCAATGACAAGACTGCCACCGACGGTAGCCAGGCCCATCATCATGTACCTGCGCTTCAAGGCTTGCTTCCTTCGATTCTCCATGTGCTCAGCTTCATTCCAGGTCTCCTTATTGGCTGCTTCTTGCATCTCCAGTGAATCAGTAACGCGTTTTTCGAAGCGGCAAATCTCTAGCCATGAGACCTCCATGGATGTTCCTACACGCTCGAGAAGGGCCCTCGAGCGGGCGTCATAGATTGAGTCAGCGATAAGGACGAGGAAGAGGTCGCAAAGCACTGTCCAGCGGAGATCGAGGTCGATGTTTCTTGACACCCCAAGCTGTGACGGAGTACGAACCTCGGGCATCTCTTTGCCGCCATGTTCTGGGTATGCAGGTAAAGAAGAAGTCTCCGCCCTCTCATCTGAGCGACTTCCTGACAAAGCGCTTGTCGATCGTTTAGACTCGCCATTGACTTGAGGAGAGGCAACCGACTCATCGCCAGCTGAGGTGTCCTCGGCCCTTTGGTCCGCGTAATTGACGGAGAGAGAGCTCACTGATTGAGTCCCCTCGCCATTGAGCTGCGGAGAAGCCAGAGCCTCTTTGTCAGTGAATGGATTCTCGACCTTTTCGTCTGAGGGATTAAGGGAAAGCGAGCTTGTCGATGCTCGCTTGTAGCCATTGAGCTTCGGCGAGGCTAAACATTCTTTGTCCGCAGGCGACTCATCAGCCATAGGGTTTTTCACTCTCGCATTCTGCATCAGCGTCGGCGTCAGATCCCCTGGCTCAACGCCATGCTCAGCGAGCTGCTCGATCATAACTTGTTCAGACGAGTCGACCTCCATATGCATATACAACCTCACCATCATCTGCTGACTCCACATCTTCATTGATTCCGCCGCAAGTGCGAGCCCCTTCTTCGTGTTTTTCGTGCCCTCCATTTCATCCAGCTCCATCACCATCTTTGCCATTGCCAGTCGCGTTACACCCACGTACGCTATCCTTTGTCCCTCCGTGAGCAGGTTTTTCGTAGCCTGCAGCTGAGCCAATGGGTCTCTCTGTTCCTCGTCGTCATCTGCCATATCCGTTCCCTTGGGCTTGAATAAATAATTCGTATTATCATCCATACTCGTAGCTGATCTTGCATCCTCATCGACCTGAACCCGAGTATAGCCCTTCCCCGCACCCCCCAGCCCGGCATATGCGTTATCTTCGTCATCAGAGTCTTTCTCTTCCCGGGCTACCAGCCTATTGTGATCATCGTAAATGTCGTAAGGCGCAAAGGCCGGCATGTCCTTCCAATCCTCCTCCTGCTCATGGTCTTCTCTTGGCTTGTGAGGGGCAAGCGCTTGATGGGACCAGCCTGATGCGCCCCCAGTGGCGCCCCCGTGGAGGAGGTTATCCACGATAGCTGGTGGTACAGTTCGAGTATTGAAGTCCTCCTGGGGCTTCTCTTCGGTTTTGCTAGGCAAGGGTTGGTCATCTTGGCCATCGACTAGCGACTCAGCTGACTTCTCGCGCTCCTGGTCAATGGTTCCGTCATTGTGGGCTACGTGATCTTGTGTGGGAGGTTCTGGCTGCGATTCCGGAGCGTCCTCGAAGTGCTGTCCTATTGGTTGTGGCTCTCCATCTTCTGATCCAGTACCTTCGTCATGCGGGTCATTGGGCGACCTCTGTGTCTTCTTCACAGGTAGACCAAAGTCATCCGTCTCCTCCTCATGCTCGATTGTCCCATGCTTCGAAATCCCTACATGGGCGACCGTATCCGCATCTGGCGGGCTATTGATAGCTGTCCCTACAGACACCTTCGAGGGCGATTCGTCCTTCTCCGTTGGGGGCTCACTACCGGTCATCATGGGGAGACCCATGCAATTGAGCCAACGTGGGGTTGAATAAGACTATAAACATTCTAAGCTGTCAGGGCGGTAGCTTTGACGACCGACGAATTAAGGTATTGACCGATGAGCCACAAAGAGCTAACAAGGATCATTGTATGTCTGTCTGTCTTCCTTGGCGCTAGGCCTGCTACATCAGCGCCGCATATCTACTACAGCCAAGTTCTTGATTACAACACGAGGGTCTCGAGTTTGTGGAAAGTCGTTTCGGAAATGGAGCTGCTCACAGAGGGGAACGTAAAGTCACTGTTAATGGTGGATCGCAAGGTATTGTATAAACTCGTAACTTTCTAACTCCTTCTACCGAACTAACCCCCTAAAGCTCTTTGCCATATCGAGGTCGAAGGAAATGATCGCAGATAATGAGCGTGAGTAGCTGAAGCGACAGATCGGACCAAGCGACAACATCACAATGAACCCCTTCACATCAGGCCAACCCGGACGCCCGTCGTAGCCTTCGCGTCTTGTTCCCAGCAGAGCAGCGGCGAAGCTTTCGTAACACAGAAGATATCCACAGGAATAAAAGTCGATCAAGTTCCTTGCGAAGCCATAGGGAAGCCCGTCCCGACGCTTGTGCTGGCCCGAAGGTGCATTGCCTAAATCCATACTGGACAGTCTTTGCTGAAGGGGTTGTTATAGCTGCATCCAAATAGACCCATGATCTCGTCGAGATAGTCTTCCGCACCGAATTTGCAGAATCCGTTGCTCATCAGATACTGCTCCTCCTCGTCCAAGATGAGGACGTCCCTCGCACCCATCTCCTCTGCTAGCTCGTTGACCTTTGTCAGCTCAGCCCCGAATGGATGATCGGCTTCAGGCTTGTGGGAGAACATTTCAATGCTATTACGTGCAGCAGTAGTACTGTGGATTTCAACAGGAGGCGGAACGGTCTGCTGGATGGATCGCTTGCGAGCAGCAAGTTGGTGAGATTTCTTGGTGTGTGATGGCATTCGCTGTGGAATGGCGGGGCTGTCGCAATCGCTTGAATCCTTTGATCTTCGCGAAACAGAGCGGTTGGCGTCGGCGAAGTAGGAGGACAAGTGGTTTGGCTCAACCGGGCTAGGTGGATCGTTGTCTGGAGTAGTGGCGCGCGTAGAATTAGAGAATGTCATGGAGCCTTCAGACTCGGTGTCCGATGAGCCGTAGATATTGGGCGCGTTGAAGGCGAGGACATTAGTTGTCGATAGGAGCTGGAGTGGTGCAGATATCTCGCTGCGCTTGATAGTCCCTGTCCTCCTCATGCTTGCAGCCCGTTTGGGCTCAAAGCGAGATGAGTCTGATATATTCCTCTTGCGACTGGTGAGTGCTCGTGCGAGCTCCATCGCGATGTATCGAGGTGGGAGACAGATGGAGATTGGCTAGATTAAGTCTTGAAATTGGCTCGACGATATCAGTACTGCGAAGCTGCTGTCAGGTTGAGTGTGATGATGGTGATGTGCGGCGAAGATTGAAATGGAATGCCCAATGTGACTTGATTCGATGCTGAAGCTGAATGAGAGTGTCCTGCGATGCTTTCTGGCGAATGAGTGTGGCTAAATTGTAGAACCTGCGGACACAGTCCGGATTAATCTGATAACAAATGTATAAAGAGAACGTGGTTGTGGGTGATGCGAAAGAGTGTACAACACCCTGGGCGGCAAGAGAATGTGTGAGGTTTGAAAGAAGGAAGAGCGTCGACTGGTGAAGGAAAGTGGTGGTGGTGGTCAGGGAGAGAGAGGGATTGCCAGTCTTTTCGGGGGGGGGGATTACACACTTTCCCCTGGATTTCGAGCTAGCTCTCGCTAACCGAACGCCAGCATGCTAGCGCGGCCCAGGAGAACTAGTTCCTTACGTTTCCAAACATCAAGACTTGTTTAGTGGAAAGACAAAGCAAGCATTCTGCAACACTGATTGGCTTAGACAGCCATAGGAAGCCTTATTACAAGATTTTGATTACATAGTATCGTTTGTGATATCCTAGCGTGGTTTAGTGGAGTGTTCTTCGCGAATCGATCGTGGTTGGCTCAGGCCTGGGCGAATCCCACCGAATTAAGGGCCAGTTTCAGGTGAGCTGAGCCATTCAGGCAATCATTTATCATTGGCTGAAGCCACAAGCTGGCGATGGGGTCTAGGAGTTGGTCTCGACGTGACAACGTCCATGATCCAAGCGCTCCTCTCTGACAGCAACGTTCTGCAACTCTGCTAAGCGCTCCCTTTCAGAGTCACAACTAAAGTACGAAAACCAGCACCCTGCAGGATCTTGTCATTTCAAATTGCCTCTCGAATAATTCTCCGATGTTGCGAATTGAGAGGACTGTGGCACGCAATCCTCATTTGGCCAATGCCGTACTTTAAGGAGTCGACGTGCGGCACATCCAGAGCCAAAGGTTTCATCTTGGTTTGAATCGTCAAATACAAATCTCACCGAGTACTGGAAGGACGTCCTGCCAGCGACAATAATATTAGCGGTAGGATGATGGATGTGGGCTCAGGGATTGAGGAAAAGGCGCAGAGATCCGACGGGCTGATGGCTAATTCTCCAATTTGTGTAACTAAAAGGGGTATCTGGAAGCAATAATGATTTAATTCGCATGCTGCACAGCTTCAAGCGATGCATGCCGATCAACTTTCTGTCGCATCGCGATGTGATTTCATGGTAAATCGTCATCCATTGACTCCCACCCATTCTCCGGCATGGCATCAGCACCCCCAGGCTCGACTCCTCCTTCGTCTTCAGAATCGCTGCTGTCTTCATCAACACCTACAATTCTCTCCTCCTTACCATCGCCACTGGTTGGAACCATGCGACTGGCGAAGGCGCGACGGACCGCTGCATTGGTAGAGGTATCCCAGACTTGCATTGCGCCCTTACTGCCTGCGATGGCCAGTCTAAAGGCCACCTCAGGATCAGGTGCAAACTTGGTAGAAAAGACTCTCCCTACGTCGACGTTGCGCGACACCACCATGCTAGGTCCAGTTGGCTGCACATTCCATAATTTGACCGTCTTATCTGTCGACCCTGTTGCGAGGAAGCCGGGGACAACAGGATTGACATCGAATGACGAGATGCTCTCATCGTGAGCCTGCAATTGCCAGACCGCTTTAGAGACTTCAGGCGTCGAAGGAGCGTTTCGAATATCGTAGATGTGAATAATTCCGTTCTCTGTGGTGACGTAGAAGTAATTCGAATCGTGCGGATCCCACATGACTGTCTCAACGTCGCTTTCCACTCTCCATCTCGGTACCTTTGCATCTGGGGCTCGCATATCCGCCGCTACAATGGTCCTGTCATAACTGCCACTCAAGAGCACGGTGGATTCTTTGGGATGCCAAGCTATCGAGCAAATTTTGTCTGCATGATGTGAGTATGACTTGGCGCATTTGGTGGTGTTTAGGTCCCACAGTTTGACAGTTTTGTCTGCAGAAGATGAGGCTAAGAGGTTACGATGTTGTCTGTTTGCTGCCAGTGAGAGAATTGCATCAACATGGTAGTCGTCGTTGGCTTTCTTGGACTTCTTTCGTTTTTTCTTCTTTTTCAACTCTTGACTAGGATCCGCCTTTGCTTCCTGTCCACCTTGACCTAGAATGGCATTAGGGTACATGCAATCAATTGTATCTAAGTCCCAGATCTCAATATCAGGGTCGAAGGTTCCAACAGCAACGTAGTTGCCCCTTGAATCTGGGTCAACGGTATTAGGATTCTTTCCGACAGGTAGATCTAGCCATTCGATACAAAGAGGTATTGCTGGGAGCATAATGTCGTGGTGGACGTAGAGGTTATCAGCCCCATCTTCGTACACATAGACTTCCAAATGTGCAACTTCATCCTCCACTTTGGCAGCGACCATCATATTGTCTGTGGCCAAGATCTGCAAATCTTCTCTTTCCTCGTCCTCGTCGTCATTCTCTTGCATTGTCATGTATGGATCATCTGCGTTAGATTCATGATACGCCAGTGACCTCGCGTTTCCAAACATCGCCATTGTCTCGCCATCTCTGACCTCGGTATCGCTGTCGTAATGTTCAAGGTCGTATTCTTTGAGATCATCATCTGCGTCTCTGTGCATCGATCAGACCACCTATGATGATACGCACGGATGTTACTTACGCGTGCGATTGCTCCAAGTTCACACCACTTTCTTCCGCATCTGAATCCTCTGTCTCAGTTTCGCCTGAACGTCCTTTCTTCGCATCGCTCAGGTCCTCTTTGGCATCCTCAAGTTGTAGCTTTGCGAGCTTCGAGATTCTTGCAAGCTCGTCTTCATCGACATCATATTTTTCGGGAAATACCGCCGCCGCTCCCCTCGGCACCCATAAGGAGGCCGTGATCATGGACATGGCTGACTCGATCGGCGTTTAACATTGTTTTTCCTTGAAGACCAAGACAAGAAAGTTCGTGGGTCGGAAGATCTTCGGCGAAGCGTCGGCACTTGACGCTCTACAACGCGGATGTCAACGGCCCGAGGGCCTCTCGAAATCAGTTAGTCAATGCTCATTGTAAACTTCTCTTGCTATCATGGCTCGCGAAGATAGTCCCAAGAGGCGTAAACTTGACTCTGACCGGTTTGCCGTACCATCAAGACCGTCGACTGCAAAAACGTTCCGCTCAGCTCAAACCCAATTGCACAGTAGAAGCAGTGGGAATCAGACACCATATATACAAAAGAATGGGGTTGGTAATGCGTCTGCATTTTCGACACCACAAGCCTCTAAATATGCCTCTACACCGCGCCAAAAGGAATTCGACGGACCGGAGCCATTCGTCAATGAGGAAGACGCCAACGCTCTAGACCGAGACTGGTATGCGGGAGACGAGTTTGGGCATACGTTGGGTGACGAGTCCCACAATCCTTTTGGCTCAGATGCGTCATGGGCCAACCGGCAAGCAGAAGCGGCCCTAGCCGAGAAGAAGAAGAGCAGCCGGGTCAGCGCAAAGGCTGTCCAGAAACAACGGGACGTGGATGCTTGGGAGACCAATC